ACTTCTGAAAATATACTTCCTGTTTTTTACTACTTCGAAAATTCCCAAACTGTCCTTTATTGTGGCCTCCGGATAGATGAAAATTGTTACAAATGTTCCAATAACTGAGAGGAGACTATAGCAGAAATAAATGATGCGACCATACGTACTTCCAAGTTTGACGTAGACCCATGTCACCACGAAGGACCCTAACCTTAATAAAAAATATGTATTAACTTTCAATAACATTCCCTGGGTGCTATCCTGCCTTTCACCCCAAAGACTGCTTTATAAGGTAGCACAGCAAATTCAACACTTAATTAACTTTAAACCTCACTATCTTCCTGAGTCACTCATGAGCGACTTTTCCAAAAACCCTTCTACATTTCTAAAATATTCGTAAAAGTCAAGTAAACATCTCCAGGATTAAAATCTTTTTGAATCAATGTTTATGTTTGGGTGCTTAGCAAACCGTTAAACCTACCGCAACGGAAATTTCGATTTAGGAACAAAAGTTACCTTTGCTTACGCTAACACACTTTGATGGCTCAAATAAAAGTATCCTAGACATTCTAGTTCTTACTTTGGACCTCTGATAAAGGTTTTGTATGAACTTACGAATTTCTTGTTGCCTGGTTGCAGCTTTATCTTTACTCCTTACAAGCACAAGCCACCTCTTTCAAGGCTACTCTTAGTCGTTGTACTCTGGCTGGACTCAAATATGAAGTATACTGTGAGGTTCAAATTTAGATGATGTCGTGATGCGTACGAGAAAGAAGCGCGAGGAGCGTGCAATATGTATGCTAGAAAGAGTGCGCCGATGGCATCCGTGACCTCGTACTCGTGTTGCCGAGCAACAGGATGCGTCTATCTCTTCCTTGTGCTTCTCTCTCGTACACATGACAACGTCCAAAGTCAGCGGTATTTGGTTTTCAGTGTGTGTGTGTGGAACACTTTGTCATAACGGAAGTAGCTGCTCGTAATTGACTTGGCTCAATCCAGATCGAATTTAGACATACATACCATGACGGGATCACATTAGTAGCAATTGTTATCCTTGATAAGAATTATGTATTCATGATTAGCTCCCTCTGAGTCTCTTACGTATTCAAATGTATACATAATATTTCCTTAAAGGGGATTGAATGTAACAAAAATTAGCCGGCAATTTTGTTTACAGACCAGCTGACAACCAGTTTGTAATCAGCGACCTTAAACAACAGCTTGCATTTTAACCGGTTATTTTTACCACTGTGGGGTACCCGGTGAAGTATACTTTTCAATTTACTTACTTTTATGTTTACTTAAAGAATAAATATTATTTTCATCCTTGGCCTGTTGTAGATAGAATTTGTATGTATATTGAAATTTATATTGCCTATAAATAAGCATGTACGAGCTCTGTAAACTGAGTGATGAGGCCGATTTTTAAAAAAAAAATTATTCTAATATAATTAAATTTCATATTGTCACCCTCAAACGAACTTCCTTCTGAAGCCACACACCACTGCAGACGGTTCTTCCACTCGTCACAGCAGTGTTGGAACGCCGATACTGGACAAACCTTTAGCTGGTCGATTATAGCCATTCGAATGTTTTCGACTGTCCCAGAATGACTTTCCTTGAGGTCATTTTTTTACTTCTTCAACTAAGTCACAAGGTCTCAAGTCAGGCGAATCAGGAGGGTGATGGGCCACAGGTTTGTTTTTACTGGCCGGAAACTCGTTTCTTGACATTGCTGTGTGACAGTTGTTATTGATCCGATGAACGGTGAGTGAAATCTAACTCTGTTCCGATCATTCTGACTATCAACCGACTGTCTGAGCGCACAAGATCCCGGATTCGGTCGATATCTTCATCGATTCTTGGAGATGCTTCGTGGTTCATCTTCAATCGACTCTTCCCTTCCCGAAAATGCCTTGAGCCATTGAAAAACCTGTGACATTGACAAATACTATTTCTGTAGGCTTACTGGAGCTTAGCAAGAGTTTCTGTAGCACTGTGTCCAAGTCTTAACCTAAACCTACTAGCACACCGTTATTTGAAATTGATGTCATTCATTTTTAGAAAACAATAGAACAAACTGTTCCACAAAAATGTAGCTACGGACAACCAAATGATTCGCGCGAGTTCAAACTTGTACTGAACGTGGGTCACATGATCCCCTGTTTCCTTCTCCAAGCCCGGTGCCTCCAGTGTCACCAGATCGAACGCTACTTTGCCAGTCTCATCACTTAATTTACAGACCTCATATAAATTCCCTCCATTAACTTGTTTGTATCACAGCTTAGGAAGAAGTATCTAATACAAAAGTAGTAGAGCCTAATATATAGTCTTACGTTCAATGTTTTTTTTATAACGAGTGATTTTTTAAGAGGTACCTATAGGATTTGATTTTCAAAAAAAACACAAAAAATTTGAAAAAACGATTAAATGTTTATTTCAGTCGATAGAACGGTCGATATAATTTAATGTTTAAAGATTATTTCATGTAAATGTTGGCCGCGACTCCGCTTTAAATGGCCCATGCGCAAGGTCCAATTTTGGCACACTCTCTCCAACATATCGGCCGGTATCTCACGAATAAATGCTTCAATATTGGCTTCCAGTGCGTCAATCATTGCTGGTTTATCCCTGTACACATTAGCCTTAACATGGCCCCACAAGAAATAGTCCAACGGCGTTAAATCACACGATCTAGGCGGCCAATTGACGGGCCCCAAACGTGAGATAAACTGTTCACCGAACTCGCCTCTCAATAGGGCCATTGTTTCGTATGCGGTGTGGCATGTGGCACCGTCTTGTTGAAACCACATGTCAGCCAAGTCCAGCTCTTCCACTTTGGGCAAAAAAAAAGTTTGTTATCATCGCACGGTAGCGCTCGCCATTCACAGCTACGTTCCGGCCATTGTCGTCTTTGGCCCATAATCCACACCAAACAGTGATTTTTTCGGGATGCATTGGTAGCTTTTGCAATGCTTCTGGCTGGTCTTCACTCCAGATGCGGCAATTTTGCTTGTTAACGTACCCATTCAACCAGAAATGAGCTTCGTCACTGAACACAATTTTTCGATAAAAATGTGGATCTTCCTCCAACTTTGCCAGCGCCCATTCACCAAATGGGAAACGTTGTGGGAGGTCGTGTGGCTTCAATTCTCGCACCAGCTATATCTTATAAGGTTTTACACCCAAATCCTGTCGCAAAATTTTCCACGTAATGGAGTAACAGAGGCCCAATTGCTGCGAACGGCGGTGAATCGACATTTCACGATCATCACTAACACTGGCGGATACAGCCGCAATATTTTCTTCAGTCCTCACTCTACGTCTGCGTGTTGGTGGTTTAATGTCCATATAATGTAAACTGGGTTCGAAATTTAGTCACAAGCTTCCGAATAGCGCCCTCAGTAGGCCGACCAAATTGCCCATAAATTGGAAGCAGTGCTCGATGCACTCTCTTAATCGAGCATGAATTTTGATAGTAAAATTCAATAGTTTGCAAGCGTTGTTCGTTCGTAAGTCGATTCATGGTTAAATTATAGACCAAACTGAACAAGTTTGACAATGACACAAGTCACGATTCACGCGTCATCTGTCAAAAACAGTGTTGCCAAAAAGATACTAGCAAAAAAATCACCCATCATATTATACTCGTACAGAGTAACTCAGATAATGCTACCGAATTAAGTTGTATTTTTTTAAATGGAATAATTTCAGTGAAAGTGGTAGACACTTTTTTCATAAATCAAATATGGATGATTAGTCATACCTATTTTGATAAGTTTGGTCGGTTTGGTGGTTGAATTTTGTGTGCCATTTTATCATATGTTTATCCGAATTCAAAGCAGTTTACATACGTAAGCAGACTTTGTAAAATTATTAAGCTGCCTCCCTCCCCTTTTTCCAGGAAAATTCAGCAAGTCTCTTACCACTCCTCCCTACCATGTTTACGTCAACATTTTGGTGAATTTTATAATTTGAATGAACTTGGCTTTCACGCTCTTGTTGTGTACATCGAATTTCATACCTCTGCTAGTGCAACTCGAAATTGGATCTTTATAAACGTTTCTGAATTGTAAAGCTTTATCTAATTTTCAGTAAATATTGCGACAACTTCTTATAAAACAAGTCATTTACAATACATTAAGACTTTTATTTTGCAATTTATTACGTATTTCTCCCAAACATAGTACAACTTGGCAGCAGTGGACATCATTTATCGTATCTGTCAAGAAATGAACATTATAAAACGGCCTTTGAGAATTGTTTGTACTTTCAAATATTTCTTTGAGCTCAAAAGCTTTAATCTCATTGAAAATACGTGAGAAAAAATGGTTAAGGAATTTTAGGAAGACATTGAAGAATCACAACACAACACCTCTACACAATTTACCAAGTAAATACTATTTTGAACTTTGATTTTAGCTTATTACACGACTGGTTTTGAACCTTTTTTTTTATAAAAAAAGATTTTTTTATAGTTTCATACCTATTTTCTTTGAAATAGTATCATTTCAACTGTTTTCTTAATTTTTTTCAGAAAAAAAAATGATTTCGGCACCTATGCGTTGAAGTATATCTAGTCCTACCCAAGTTTTTGACTAAAGTGATGAAAATAGGTGTAGTAAAGCATATATTTTAAATCATAAAAAAGCTATTATTATTTTCACTGAAAATACTTTTCTGGTATATTCAGTATAAAAAAGACATTGCATAAAAGACTTTATATTAAATCCTGCGACTAATAATTTTTTATTGTCGAAGATCTTGCAAAAAGAAAGCTTGCTTACTGTACATTGGCGTACCGGAGTCGCGCACCATAAACGCCCACGACACCGATAGCTATTATTATCGTACGTACCAATTAAAGAACTGAGTAAATACAACCCCGCGCGTATCCTAATGATAACTTTTTTTTCCAAAATGGCCTAACGAGACACCCTCCGAAGTTTCTCGCCGTAGATAGAAATCGCTATGTACATCAACGCAATGGATTTTCTCCCGCGTCATCTGTCCGTACACTCAGCATGAAGTCATGTTGACGTGACGCTTGGAAAGTTGCAAATGATACAAAATGAGAAATACGTCAAAAGCGTTAACAACTTTAGAGTTCTATAAGTTGTACTGTAAATTTCATCAGCATTCGGTATGTCGTCGAGAAGATGCGGCCAGACAATCAGAGAGCAAAAGGATGGACCAGGTTCCACAGCTGCTGTTTACGTGGCAGCTTTTGCGGTGTGTGTAGGAGCAGTTTGCACTGGAATCGCTCTTGCATGGACATCCAACGTATCCGAAAAGTTGCTAGCAGGTTCTCTCAACGGCATGTTTTTCGAAAAGATGGATGTGGCATGGGCCGTTGGAATTATGAAAATAGGTATGATATTTCTCTAGTATTTTAGTAAAACGTGATTAGCAAATTCAGAGCTGCATTCGTGAATTGTTAGAAAGTATAGAGCTGTTTCAAAATGTCGTGAGTCGTGACCGTTAGACGACATGCGCGGATTCAAATCTGTGGAGAAGTGAGAAAAGCAGACGCCTCACAATACAAGCATTGCTAAAAAAAAAACTGATACTATGTCTGCTAAACGGTCAGTCAAATTATTTCGGTAATTTTTGTCACACTCCTATTTATTAAATAATTTGGTGTGGTGATACAACATAAATTAATTACGGAACGCGTATTCTATAACGGAACATTGAGAATGATGTTCATTTAATTTGATTCCCTGACGAAACGTTGTTTCCCTACTATTTAAGAGCTCAATGACGTGCTTAGAGCTAATATAACTGGCTTATAATCGTCCTGATTATGTGTGCTTCCCCGTCGTCGCGTCGGTGGCGTGGTACGGAATCAGTAGCGTAGATAGCTAGTACCTGACAAATCAATTATGGAAGAAGTGGGACAGGGTTATTTATTCAGTATAGGAAGGTGGTAATCACCACTTTTCAAACCTGATTTGAAGAGAAGTTCTGCATTCTGTACAAAGCCCTTCTTTCCCTACAATGCAACACAATTACTCGTTTTCCCTTGACCAGTGGTGCTTGCAGACAGGTATTTGTCCCATCGTCCCAGGACTTTGGCACTGTATGTGTGCTTTGAATATCTGGAGAAAGACTCTTCGAGTTTTTGATCAAAACAAATTTAAATTTATTTTTAAACGTTTTCGCATTTTTTATTTCTGCTGGTAGATGGTTGAAAATTTTTACAACGAGTGATTGTGGTACTAGTTATTTACGATTTGTTGCATGACGGTCCTAAATTGCTTTTACTTTTTGTGCTATAGTGGAAATTTTTGTGTGCCCAGGAAGAGGGACATTCCCAAGTCGTGAACAAAAATGCATCATTCACAGGATCACGTTTTAAGGGGGCTCCCCTATGTCACACTTTTTCCTCGAGGGCTTCATTAAAAAGATACGAGGTGTTCAAGTTTAAGAATAAAAAACATTTTTTTATACCTTAAAAGCCGACAACTGGAATTAACATTTGGTACGTGGATTAGCCTAAGTATTGTCCACATTTAAAAGTCTTTACTTAAAATTAAAGTGTACGCGGCTGTTTTTTTGCGAAACGCCCAATTTTTCGAATTTTATCTCCAATTTGCTACAAATAATTACCCTCGTTTTTTCCTTAGAGTGCACTGTTTTCGTAAAACTAAAATTAAAACGAATTAGATCATTCATGAAAAGCCGATATACAATTAAATTTAGAATAAAATAGGAGGCCTTGATACCAACTTGACGTTTCTTGGGAGATAGTTTGTCAAAGTTATGTGTTATCCAGTTGTTATCGTTACTACTACCATTTTTGTTTTGTTTGTTAAAGTCAAGTCTAAAGTTTCTTTTTGCCATTTTTGAGTAGTATGGAATGGAATTTAGCAATGGTGAGTACGCCGATATTATTTTTGTGTCCAGGTTCTGTAATGGAAATGCTTCAGCGGCTTCTCGGGAGTATCAACGTAGATTTCTTAACAGACGCCAGCCTACCTCAAAGGGTTTTACGCGTGCATTTCTAAGTCTTCGGCAATATGGAATTGCCAAACTTCCCGGAGTTACAGGCCATTGTGTCCGTCATACTGTTTCGAGGAACTGGAGCTGGTTAAGTTTTACATCCTTACCATCGGCAAAATGTGCAATGTCTGCAACCCGGCGACAAAGTTCAACGGCGAAATGTTACTGCAAATGCGTATCAAAATGCAGATTTTATTGATTTGGCTTTGTGATCAAATGAATGGCTTTTTACGAGGAGCAAACCTTCAATTCTCATTTTGAACACATATTTGGTCATTAGGAAATCCCCCTTCTGTAAGAATCCACTCGTTTCAACACAGGAATGTCTGGTGTGGCATTTGCGGAATTGCCACAACGTTTAAATACAAACTCATATTTAGCTTTTCTATAGAATTACATAGAAAATGCTGTTCCGTTAGCAGCCAGAGTGCGCATGTGGTATCAGCACGACGGCGCCCCACCGCATGTTCGTCGTGACATAACCGCATGGTTAAATAATCGTTTTAGACAACGACGGGTTGGCAGAAACGGACCAGTACATTGACCTGCGAGGTCTCCTGATTTGAACCCCATGGATTTCTTTTTGTGGGGCGCTTTGAAGCAACTAGTGTATGCTGAACAAATTAATACTGTTGATCAGTTACAAGAAAGAATAGATAACGCGTTTTATCAAATTCAAGCCACAAAGTATTTTGCGGAAATCCGTTTTTCTTTATTGAAAAGATGCCGCACTTGTATCCGTCAAAATGGTGGTCTTTTTCAACATTTATTGAAATAAAGCTTTGGAAGCTAGGAAGAAATACAAGAGTAATTATTTGTAGCAGATTAAAGGTAACATTTTAAAAATTTCGCGTTTCGATAAAAAAACAGTGCCGCAGTATTTTTATTTGGAAAAGTAATGCCACGAAGCCCCTGTATCTCGGCTACTTGTGCAAGCATACTTAGTTAAATTCATATACCAAATTTTAGTTCATTCCAGTCGACGGTTGTGACGATATTGAAAGAGATTTATTTTTAATTTTGGAACTTCCACACCCCGTATCTTTTTAACACTTTCAATGATGCCACCGCGCCAGGCGCGTTCAGTCTTGTTTACGTTCGGTGACTGCAACGCGCCCAGCGCGTTTTGTGTATTTATTAACTAAAGCAGATCCTGTTTAGTGTTAGTGATATTTAATAAAGGATACAATTCAAGGTAAAAGTCAGGAATTTTCATGAAAGTGACTAGTTTTTGAAATACCGTTCCCACTTTTGTCTATTATTTTTTTATATTAGTATATTATGTTTTATCTTTGTATAAAAAGCAAAAATAAAACGTCAGGAATTTCATGAAAATAACTTGTTTTAGTCATACAGATTTCACCTTTGTTTTATTTAAATTTTGTTTGTAAATGTCAAATTTTTTGTATTTTAAATGTTATTGAAATTGCAATAAAAAACTAAAATCACAATCCAAAGTGAAACGTGCGTAGCGCGTTCTTTTCATCTGTATGACGTTTTTGTCTTCAAAGTGCATTAAACTTCTAAATAGAAAACCTAGACTACTTCATAAAAGATTTGTTGAAATTACTTTTGAAAACACAGGTGGCACACAAGGCTCTTATTAGTGAAGATGCCGGAGGTAAATGTCTTAACGAAGCCTTCGGCGAAAAAATGTTACACAGAAGACCCCATTTATAATGCGGTCCTGTGTATGTTTCATTTTTGGACGCGACTTCTAAATCATCCTGTATATTCGAATTTGTAGACACCCGTCAAGTTAAGAATATTGGAACTTTGTTCTATAGGAAGTGGTTTGGGACATTCCTTATACACAATAAATACCTTAACCGCATCAGGCGGCGAGCCCCAGAAACAGACTGCATAGTGTAATCAGAATGCTATATAGACGTGGTATAAGCTGCGCAATATAACAGAGGAAATTACCGAGCTAAGGTTCGGAAAAACATACCTATGTCATTGTATTTAATTTAGCAGCCAAGTGTCGACAGTGAATTTTTATTTTAGATATGTCCTAATTAATTTAAAACTATACGTTTGTACATATGAATAACATATATTTGTACCTTTTATAATTAGACCACTTCTACGGGCATTGCAAATATACGCAAGTCATCTAACCGAACTATTATTAGCTACTGTCTACATTATCTACATTGTTTTCATTGTATGCATGAATATCAAGACATATACAATTACAATTGAATACGGGTATACAATGCGCCGGTCACTGATTTCACTTCCGGTATGACCTTTGCAATTTTGAGCTGAGACATGTAACATATGTGTCTCTTTTAGGTTGCTGCGTAACTACTATCCCAATAGGCGTTCTTTTGGATACAATTGGCAGAAAGACAACAATGATGGTAGCTACCTTGCCGTTCTACGTCGGTTATGTCCTCATTGCTTTTGCTACCCACAAATATATGCTGTTTGCAGGAAGGTTTGTTTATTATATACAACTCAAAAGCTGATAATTATTTATAGGAGTAATAAATTAGAGATAAATTCTTTAATTTACTGTATAGCAAGGATCGTAGAAATACCATTAATTGGGTCACATTTCATGTAGGAAAAACTGATTAAAATCTAGCCTTTCCTTTTGGTACACGCATACATAACTCGAAGTACATCTATAACAATTTAAACCAATGATGCGGTTAGCCAAGCAAGAACATTGCGCGTAACATTGCCGGTTGCCTTTACTGGCCATCTCCGTTTAATTTGCTCCGGCCCTGCATTACTGGTCATCTATTTTACAATAGAAAACAACAAAAACAGAGGCACTCATGAACCAATTGCCAAAACTGAGTCAGAAAGCCGAGAAAGCGCCCATCCATTGTCGCCAACCTGCCAAAAAGTATTTTAAAACAGAATGTACTCGTACTAACTATACAAGGGTGTCTAAAAAGTTCTTGAACCCCGCAATAATTTATTAACTAACAATAGTCTGAAAAAACTAAGCCTAGCGATTGTTATGAGCTTTCCCCTACTCAAATATGTCTTAGTATTTGACCTAGACCATGACCTTTAAGTTGATTTGGAGGTCAAATCGATTTTCTAAATAGAACCCCATATTTTTGAGCTCGTGAATGAAAAGAGCTAAAAATATGACGGTCAAATATGATCTTGACCATTTTGACCCTGATCATCTTGAAAACCAGTAGACATAGAGGGAAACTACCGAGACATTATTTTCATGATTTTCCCCCGGATATTCAATTATGACCTTGGATCTGACCCTATCCATGTTATCGTTTAGGATCATTTGAAGGTCAAGTCGGATTTTGTAGAAAGGAAAAAATCCTAAAGGAACAGTAAGGTGAAACTATCTGGAAATTACACAGTTATCTGTATTATCAAGAAATTAAACTTGTGTTTGACCTTGATCGTCATGTCCAAGGTCAAGTTTTAACAATGGCCAAGGATATACTTGAACATAAAATTTTCCCTTTTCCCGATTTTCGCGGACAAATGTATAGGATTCCATTAAAAAAGTGTTGACCTTCATATAACCGTGAAAGTCATGGCCAGGGTCAGATCTAAGGTCACCATTGGATATCCGGGAAAAATAATAAAAATGATGTATCTGTAGTTTCCCTATATGAATACTGGCTTTCAGGTTATATCACCGTACCTCGGTTTGACCTTGATCATAACGTGCTAAAGTCAAAATTTGAGACTGGTTAAAACCATATTTAAACGTAAAACTTTCGGCTCTTTCCATTTGCGGAGTCACAAATGGGGAGGTTCCATTAAAAAACGACTTGACCTTCAAATGACCTTGATGGCCATGGTCAGGGTCAAATTAAGATCACCATTGGATAACTGGAGAAAGCTCCTATTATCACGGGGCTTTTTTTACAGCAATAGCAAAATATGAGACGTCTTAAAAAACTAAACAAAATAGCCTCATGCATGTAAAGAGATAGAGTCAAAGTTTTCTTGGAAAACATACTTGAGAGTAACGGTTACCCTAAAAAAATTTTCATATCTCAAATTCAAAGACTCAAGCTTGCACCAATACCTCCAAGACAGCTGCCAACCACAGCTGGTGAACTCTGTGTGCCATACGCAAGCGGTTTATCCGACAGGCTTCGAGATGATAGCGAAGAAATCAATACCAGAACGGTCTTCAAAACAACTGCGGTACTAAAATCCCTAATGTGCCACACAAAACCTTCTAGGGAAAATAAGACACAAAAAAAATCAACAAAAAAAATTACTGTAATTGGGGTAAGAGCTACACCGGTGACCATCAAGACCGGTTAAATGTAGGATAAAATAAAATAAAGGCAAAGGAAGAAACCTCAAAATTAGCACTAAGCGAACATGTAGGCATGGGAAATGGGACACAGGGTAAAATTGGAGAAAGTCTCAATACTACGTACAGAGGATAACAATTACAAGAAAAAATCAGCCTACTTAAATTTAAACAACAGTCGTCTTTCTAGTTTTTCTGTGGCTGTGACCCAATTTGCTTGAGTATCCTTGAAGGAAAGATCTAATTGATATACTCCAGCCCAACTAATGGACTGTCCGTTTTTTATCCCGGTTTCTTTCCTATGGTTTCTTGTTGGATCTCGAACGCGCAGATGCCATCGCAGCCAGACTGTAGTCTAACGTCAAGATTCCCTTTAGACGACGAAGCAGTAGGTTTCAGATCCAGAACAATACAATTGCAAAATTTTGTCCGCATATTGCACAACAATTAACCGGTGTGTTGCGACAGCAATTCTGGGTGGGTTTTCGCGTTTTTCTTTTTTCTAGGGCTTTTGACGTTTTCGGGACGTTGACCGGCGGTGACATGAAAAACGACAAATATCATCATGCTCGCTTGTCGTTTTGGAGGACATACGTTCTTTTTTGAGAAGAGGAATGGATCTCTATGCAATCCTGAGCTACGCTCTTTTTGCGTGGTGCCATTTTAAAATTCAGAATGATGACTTCGCACAATCTAAGCATCTTGCAGATTATCAGACTGTTGTAGCAACACATTGTATAGGAATGTGATAATGAAAAGAAAGCAAACAAACGAACTGTCACCTGGAAGACATTGCACTGTAGAAGATTACCTTTCTGACTGAAACGCTCACAGTAAAGAAGATTCTGCCAATACATGTGGTTTTATCTGCCACACAAGCATGGGGTAAAATTGAAAAAAAAAGTTAAAGGCCACTATGGAAATGGTAAGAATCATGTATACTCAAAAATGCAATAAAATAAAGCTTCTGCATTTAAAATTTTTGGTATACTTGGTTTCTGAGATGAGGAGACTGGTCAAGTTATATTAGTTAGTCTGCCGCGTTCTGACCCATTGATCAATAGAAGACTAATGACTTAACTAATAAGAATCCTATGACCAAACAAGGTCTTACCATCTTGGTTCACTTTTAGGTTCATTATTGGATTGGGCGCAGGCGCCTTCAGTTGCTGTTCTCCACTCTATGCAGCAGAAATAGCTCATAAAGAGATTAGAGGCAGTGTCGTGAGCTTCTATTTTATGTTCGTCAGCTTTGGTTTCGTCTACGCCAACGTACTGGGCTGGTTGCTGCCAATCAAGCTGTTCATCTTTGCCTGTATCATCGTGCCCGTCATTTTTACGACGATGTTCTTTTTTCAGCCCAAATCACCGGTAGGTACTGCAGAAATCCAAGTCAACAAGCGCATGTTCGGTATTTATTCATATATTGTTTCACAAATTACTATTTAAGTGAAATGCGACAGCTGACAAAATATTCTGGGTGTAAAGTTTTTCTGACAGTCTTTCCAAATTTCTGCAAGAAAAAAGTCCAGGTAGTATCCTTGCCTCTGCTGGCAAAAATAATTCTAACTAAGATTTTTGAATAAATAACCACATACAAATTTAAGACATCTACAGGTACTCAGGCCCAAGATTGCATCAAAATGTTTTTGAGCTGATTTTCCGCTCCAGACGAAGTATTATTTAGGCTTTTGTATGTCCATATGAAATTTTTTCCTACGTTCAGGCTTTTCTAGATCTAAACAGTTTAATATTTGAGAAAGTGCAATATATGCAATATTCGACCCCGAAAAATAGTAAGACAAACACGAAAATCTTAATTTTGTTCCTATTCTTCAAGCATCAATTTTAATGTTTGCGTTTGTTTTATTCAACTTGACGTGTTTGTTAGTGCGTATGGGACAAATCTTGGAACTGACTTTTGAACCAGCTAACCTCAACAAAATGAGACATTTTGAACACGCGTTTAGCATGAATGACGATGCAAAATAAATTAACTGCCGCCATTTTAAGTCTACCATCTTGGTATGGGTATCAAATGAAAGGGCTTGATGAGAGAAACGCAACAAGGACGGTGAGGTTATTCTCAATCCAATATGGTGACTGCTTCAATATGGCATTTATAATTAGCATATTCATCCCTACGATGTAGATATTAAATTGAAGGGCTTGATGAGAGAAACATAAGAAGCAACGTGACGTTCAATATGTCGGCCGCCGCTAAATGATGGTTTATAATTATCATGGTCGCCGGTATGATATGGGCCGATTGATTAGATTGAACAATCTGATGCTCTTCAATGTATGATGTGAGTTGAACAATCTTTTCAAGAGTTTTCGGTAAAATAGGTAGTAAACTAACAGGTCGGAGATCGGAGAGGATACCGGGTTCAAAGTTTTTGCTATACATATTATTAATGCTTGCTTCGACATTTTAGAGAAGTGATCGGTTTCAAGGTAGAGATGAATAAGTGAATAAGTATAACAGATAGGCGGACCTTTATCATAGTTAGCGTAAGATCATCTATTCCTTTAGCATCTAACTTAAAATTGTAGAATTCCTGAGGGATCGACGATTCTGAATGAAAGGGAACCAGGTGGAAAGAAGTGACGACTTTTGTAGAAGTAACATAATCCTTCGTCATTATTTATACTGTAAACTGACATAGAATAGTCATTGACTTAATTTGGATCAGATTACTTATCTAAAAGACAGGGTTTTGACCGAGAATGAATATTAAGTTCCTTTAAACCATTTCATATATTTTTTAGTCATTTTGTTCAGAAAAGAATTGTAGATATGCTCTTTTTTCTCTCCTCACCTGGGAAAGAGCTTGATTTTATTTATTGTATAGGTAGTATGGGCAGTATGGGGAGATAGCGATGGAGCAAGTGGTTTGTTTACTCTAAAAGTAGTTGCAGGTTCATTTTTTCGTAAACTTTCATCAGTGTATTCATATCTAAAATCTATATGGTTCATAAAGGATAAGTGAGACAAATTTGCAGAAGATAGGTAACACAGTGAAAATCTTACTCATTGAAAGATTTGACGTTCTTTACAGTTTCGAATGTTTCTTCTTCAAATCAGAAATGGGAAGAGTGCATGATACCATTTTGTGGCCTGCTATGCCGTTAGAATCGAGAAGCAAGCTGTCGGAGATAATGTCTCGTTTGGATCTAATAAGGACGCTGTATTGCTTGTGCCTTGTAGTAGTAGCATGGAGAAAAGGGGTTATTACTGCTCGAAATATAAACATTCAGATCTACAATAAAAATGTTATAAAAATTGTTTGAGATTTATGTCACCATAAGATCTACAGCACTGATGGAATCTTTGAGATTTTGAGAGATCGGTGTATACAACACACCCATAAGCAAGACGTATCTGTTTACTTTTATGCCGATCCACCATTGTTCCAAGCAATTTCCCAGGTTGTTGTCAAAGTTAATAATTTCAATCTTGAGGTCCTAGGATACATAGATGCCTACTCCGCCACCGCGGGATCTCCTGTCACTAGTGAAAAAAAAAATAATTGTTGACACTCACCGCATCATTGGTAACATCTTGGTTTGACCATGTTTCTCACTTACAGCGAAAATGTCGAGCAAACTCAGTCTGAATCAGGTCAATGATTGCAGCAAAGTCGGACATCGCAGAGATCGCGCGCTCAGACGACCAAGCTTTATCGATCCTGACTTACCCATAATCTATTCTTGCTTTAAGGCTGAGAACGTGGTTTTCAAAAACTGGACAGGCTTTATCAGATGCAGCATGCTCAACATTTATTTCTGTACGATATCTACCATTATACTGCACACAGTTTGAACATTGCACAAAATCATTATCTCAATTTTTATAAGAACGCCCACTAGAACACTCAAGGTACGCAGATACATTATAGGACGTGGAGGAACCTTTTGCTAGTAGAAGTTTTCCGATAAATGGAGACACATCTAGAACTATGTGCATATTTGTTGAATCTCTCAGCTTTGACTTTGTGACTACTTCCATCGAAGTTGAAGAATCTTCATCGTAAGTTATTTAAAGATAATATGCCTTAAACAATATCGTCACTATTACCCAACATATCACTAGATGCAAAATTTTTATTATAATACTGGGGTTATATTTCTTGGATTCCCTAATGTGATATCCATTACCAAACTTGGCTTTAAGAGCATCCTTCAGGTTCTGAGGGTCCTGCGCGTTTAGTTCGACTGGGTTGAGTGCATCCCTAATACATTTGACTACATCAGCATTCCGCTTATTGTTTGCTGTTGTTACCAAGAATACAGATGAATCAACATCGTTTACACTTTTTTTAGCATACCACTGTAGCTGAGTGTATTTACATTCTTGTGCGCAAAAAGTGTTTCAACTTCGCCGGTAAAAGTATTCTGCCAGCAGAAACATTGGGTGATATGCATAAAGGCGAGTGGCTACTTTTGACTCGCATTTTTAAAGTAGCCACTCCATTTGATATGCATAAAAATGTAAGTAGAAGCTCACACTCTTAAGTTTCTACTCTTTCCGTGAGGCTGTACTCGCTCCTTGAGTGCCGACTTCAATTTTTATATGCATAAAAGTGAGCGTCCACTCTGACCGCTGAGTGCATACTTAAAGAAATGCGAGATACCTTAGTAGTAGACTCAGCTTTATAAGAAGTGAACGAAATGACCGAATTTATGCCTACTTATCAGCCTACGAAGGTGTTTAAAGATCGTAGGGAATTAAAGGATGTAGACTATCGGGCCTTATATCGGTTTAGTAAAGTTAATGTTGAGTGGATAAGTAACCATTTTCTTGGAGAGACAGAAGAATATAGGGGCGGTGCTTTGAGCAATATAGAAAGAATGAGGTTTTTTTTACGATATGTGGGTGATCCAGGGTTTCAAATTGGCATAGGAGAAGCTATTGGTGTCCATCAATCTACGGCATCCCGTACCGTTTCCAACGTTATAACACGCATTGTGCGGAAGTCGAGCATTTGGATTAGATTCCCAACCACATGTGAAGATCTACACAATGCTAAAAATGAGTGGCAAGAAAAGTTCAATTTTCCTTCAGCTATTGGTGCTATAGACTGCACCCATATACCTATTCTGAACCCGTTTATTCATGCAAACGAATATGTGAACAGAAAGAACTTTGCTAGTATAAATGTATAAGCAACGTGCAATTCAAACTAAGAGTTCACAAGTGTGGATGTTTCTTGGCCAGGATCTGTACACGACTCTCGGATATGGAAGAATTCTGATATATGAAATGGAATAGGGCTAGTGCTGTTTTGTTGGGAGACTCTGGGTATGTTATAGCTCTTTGGCTCATGACTCCTTTTAGGATTGCAGAAACAGCAGAACAAAGATCATACAATCGGCTGTTTACGAGAGAGCGAGTTATAATAGAGATATGTTTCGGGCAACTAAAACAGCGATTTCCCATTCCACATAACAAAATACGCGTCGATACAGAAAAAGTGCCCTCCCTTGTCATGAGTTGTTTTATCTTGCATAATGTGGCTAAGCACCTTAATGATGAAGATTTTGCTGTTGATATACCGGGAGATGGCGAACAAGAAGAAATCCATAATCAACATGGTGCTGACTATGCAGATGGAGTGATACGTCAGAGAGGTCAATTTAGAAGAGATGCAATATCAAGAATTATTCATGGCTATCGGGTCTAAGTAAGTATCTAGCATGATCCAAATTTACAAATTATGTAGATATACGTTGAAGAACGATGTTTAATTAATCATAACAAAATTAATAACACTTTCAAAATGGCAACTTAAGAGAAAGTTCTTAAAATTAATAAAAAATAACATTTATGAAACATGAAGTACTTTTGTCAGTTCTGTCCTGGAAATAGGCTCATGAAAATTGGATTGCCAGTTTCTGCACTTTCATTTAAATTGGATCAGATTCATTAATATTTTTCTTGTGAAGTAGCAGTTCCTTAGCTAGCCGAAACACTTGTATTTGTTCAAGTAAAACGAGACGTTGGAGCTCTGTTATTGATAAATCTCGTGCTTCATCAGTTTCCACTAATCCGTTTTCCTTTTTTTAGAAGGCTCCTTACTGGGTCCGGCTTTCATTGTGGTAGCTTTCAGTACTGGTCCTGAACTTCCAGATGCTTCTTCGGTGATTGTTTCTTCTTCAGCACAGGCTGTTGGAGTGTAATCAATGCTTTTTTGTGGGCAACCTGCCACAACAGCACCCAAAATTTAAAATAAATGCTATTTATATTCATTGAGATGTATATAGGTATATTATACTCAATCACATCTTATACCTACTGTATGGAAAAACAAAAAAATACAACTAACATTGCAATCGAGCAATACTAGGATTTGGTTCTCCTTGTAGAAAATTGAACAGTTCTTGTTCCCATCCTTTCAATTTTATTGGTTTGTTTCCGGTTTGATATCTGTCTGTCTTCGCTTTCAATCTGGTTTTTATGTTTTGAATCTTCTTACAAATCTGCCCTTCGTTATAATTAACTCCTAATTCGGCTTCTACCTTTTCTTTTATTTCTTCAGCCGCCTTACGTCGTTTATTTTTGATTTCCGGGATGTTAGATTTTTCCAACAAAACAGGATACTGTTCAATTATATTAACAAATACTGTTTGATTTTCAGATGAATGGTCTTCAGAATAGGTATAATCGACCTAAACACCACCGACACAAACGTTTACCGGTATACAGTAGTAACTGCTCGCAATAGAGAAATTGCCAATTCGACAAGACAACAAAATACAAGTCGGAACTCGAAAACCAGAGTGCGTACTCAAGTATTTCATTAGCACTTGAGTAGCCTCTCCGTTTCTCGACAAATATTTTATGCATATCAAAACCGAGTATGCTCTCCCTAACAGGAGTAGTTACTCGCTACAATATGGAGTAGCTAATTCTGAGAACCCACTCGCCTTTATGCATATCACCCATTATCATTACCGGATGATTCTGATTTTAATGGTGTGTTTGAATAGTTTGAATAGGTTTTGAATCAGACCTCTGTATCTCTGAAAACACTCGATTTCTTTCCTACAGATGACTTACTCAGATGATTCACATGTAGTCAACTTGCCAATCGGAGACCGGTTTTTTCACTTTAGCCTTGCAATAGTCACAAAACCATTGTATCACATTGTGATTAAACACTTATGATATCGTCTTTCACTGCCACACAGTGACGTGTACATCGTCCACATGTCTCTGATTGGAACATTGCCTAATTATTTTTATATATCGTTTTAAATACTACAAATTGCCTGCCTTCAATTTCATTATACAGAAGTCGACGTCAAGCCGGAAACGGGGGTAGGTGCAGACATAGTAGCTGCCTGAAAAATGAAAAAAATGTGTCGTGTACTTTTCAAACCATAGGCATTAAAAAATATCGGCAAAAAGGAAAAACTACTCCATGTTTTAGTCCCCACTACTACAGATATGATTTTTTTATACACAGGGTGACGGATTCTGCGTAGTGACACCAAGACAGATAGTAACGCCAAATTTTATTAATTATTGCTGGATGTATTTATTCAATTAAAAATAAATGTGCCTTCCTGCAGCAGCAATGTAGGCTTAACATCTTTCAAAATATCATCGGGTTTTTAACAAATTCAGCTGCCTTCATTAAGGTTGATTCTCACTATACATTCCGTTTCCATTCCATATCAGTTTCGTAAACGTTCCGCACAATGTGATTGTATAAACAGTATACCTTACGAATAATGTGTATACATACGCAATAGCCTGCTTTAAGCGAAGGCGAGTATTTAGTTTCAATATTTTACCGAACGGTTACGGAATGGAAACGGAATGTATAGTGAGAATCAACTTTTATTCTGTGCCGTAGCTGGCTTTGAGTAAACCCTTGCTTCCACCGCTGTACCAGTGCAAAAAATCGAGTGGACTTAAGTAAGGTTATCGAACTGGCCATGAAATGCTGGTACAACATGTCTTTGTAAATGCTTAGTGGCACGTCCTCCACTGAAATGATTTTGTAAAGAGTCTAAATAAATTTCACCATTCAGGAACTCTGGCAGCTCAAAAGGTACAATGATTCTCCCATTTATAATCCCGGTCCACATGTTTACTTTGAAACGATACTCTGATCTATCTCGTCTCATCAAATGTGGATTTTCTACTTACCACTCGTGTAAGTTGTTTAGATTCGTGTAACCACCCGATTTGAATGTCGACTCATTGGTCCATAAAATTTTCTCACAAAATCGCGGATCTTCCCGGTGTCTCTGTAACACTGATTAACAAAACAAATCTTTGAATATAATACCGGGGATGTAGAGGTTGTACTCGCTGTACGTGAAACTGGTGGAGCTCGTTCTTTCACACTTGCTTCTATTTGACGTATTGAAGTACTCCGGTCTTCTTCGACTGCTTGTAGCACCACGTCCTCGTAAATAAAAGAGGTTGGTCCTTCACCATGTACTTGATTTGTCGTCCCCCTGAGAGTAAACGGCGCACATTCACAAGAACTAGCTGCAGAACTTGAATTACATTTACATTTCCCCATAAATGGAGTGCATCAATGCTTATTCCTGTACGGTGTACACAGACGTGGTGACAATACACAACCATGAATTAATAAAAGTGGCGCTACTATCTAACTTGCTGACACTACATAGGATGACACTGTCCGTCACTCCGTCTAAGAAAAAATTGGAATTTGTAGTAATGGAAACTAAAAGATCATCACATGGTATGGATTCTACCGATTTTTCATTTAAACCCTATCATTTGAAAAGTACACGTACATAACTATTATGACTTGACTTATCCCCCAGCTGGGGTGACGACAAGACGTTAACGTTTGCCATTCTATGCCGAAATTTTGAATGTCTGTGGAATCCAAAGTCTTCACGGTATAAAAGCAGTATTTTGAGAAACAGTGCGTATGATGGTATGTTAACCAATGTGAATGAGACTACGTTAACTTTAAAGATTTTAAAAACAAAAATCAGGAACCTGAGGTCGGCTTACCACAATGAACTAAAATGCTATTGTAATCTGTAACTTAATGCGTAATAACATAATCTACGAATAATTTGTAATCACATGGTATGTCGAAAACTAAACTGTGACCTAATCAAAAATACGATCAAGTGACAAACCATGAGTTATAATGTAACTGCGATGCGCGTCAACTAAGCGGTATGCAAATTAACGTAATTGGCATTGCGTACCTGAATGTTTAATTCAAGATAAAAATAACCGTTTCGTTTAATGAAGGAAATACGTATTTTGCGGTATCATATTTAAGTAAATAATCGACAGGAAATACAAAAAAAATCTTTAATGTTTCTGACTGGCCCGCCATAGGATCTAATGAGCCTATATTGATTTCCACAGGTCTACTCTATCCAATCCGGAAAAGCTATGGAAGCTATGGAGGCTCTTAAAGCCCTGCGAGGGTCCAAATATGATGTTACTGCGGAAATGAAGACGATCAAACTAGAATTATCTATAGCCTTAGGAGGCAGTAACTTTTTTCAGGTGAGTCTTTTTCTTGCAAGCGTCCCTGGGAGCATCTATACAAGGTGCCCATCTCCCCAACCAAATGTTTCGAAAACTACGCATTCTAGGAAACCACGTCAAATGAAAGTTGTACGGTTTCGAGGGAGCATGTACCTTGACTAAGACCTCCAAGGTCATTCCAGGGTCTAGCGACTATTTTCAAATGAAACACCCCCCTCTCACAGTGGAACTGTAAAAACTTACAAGTTATTCTCAAAACTGGTTGCCCGTTTATTTTTTCACCTTGTCGGGTTGTATTTTCTTCAGTGTGAACCATGATGAGGCATTATCACACCAACATCCACAAAATGTAACAGTTCTTTCAAATTTATTACTAACACCCCAACATTACAGGTAAAGAACGCTTCGTGAGCTCCAAGCTTCTTGTACCCTAAACTTGCACAATGGTTGTCTCGCAATATTGCCTAAATGAATTTCCTAGGTACAGTCTTCTTGAAAACCATTTTGGATATCACATCCGAGAAAATTGTATGGTTTTTCAGTTTTGACACATATGGCATTCACCGACGTCTACTATCTCGTATTTTACGGAAACTTGTAAAATGGAATATCCTCGTACCGGTTCAAGCGAGAATAGCGGAATATGTCCCGAAGATTCGTCGCTCATTACTGGATATTAATCAGACTAAAACAAACTAGGTTCGTCCATCTATTTCTTTATTATGCATGCATGTGTTAGTCCAAGGTAATATGTTCCTCTGCTTCACCTTTCAGGCACTATGTACGTACGCTTAGGCCCAGTTTTTCAGTTGCAGGTGAACTGTGATTTTACTATACTGCTAAAGTTAACTCTATAAGACGCTTTACAATGTTCGAAACCTGGATGTAAATTTAACCAGAAGACCCTCTGCGGGTTGACTAGAAAGTTGTAGTTAAATCGCAATCCGAACTGGATATATATATATATATATATATATACGTCCGTTGTAGAAATACATCACCGATTACTCAAGAAGTCGACGTTAGACAATCATTAAAGCATTATAGCATAACTGATGTGTGGACATCGCATCGGCTAGAACATTTTCAAAACGGTGAAGCTTCCGGTTTTACTTGACTTAGATACCAACTTGTTTATGCTAAGAGGCACACCCTGTATATTATTAAGTTATTAAAATCTTCGCACGATTTTACAGATGAGGAACAACTTCCTTATAGAACGGGCTCTAGTAAGTCGCATTCGACATTTTGATATAATTTGCAGGTGGTCAAAGGAATCCGGTGGAACTAAAATTGTAAGAAATGCCATTGAGGAATTTTTTCAAACAAAAACCGCCTGTTCTAAGCAATAGAAATAAGGATAGTTGTGTATAAGCTCATCTACTACGCCAATTAGTAGTTTAGGGAATATTTGCAAATACTGTTTATGAACAGTTCAGCATGCTTCGCCATATATCATTATGCATGGCTTCTTTTTCTGCATATGGTGGATTTATTTCACATGAGAAGCAAGGCCTAGGTTCCAGGGCACAAAATGGAACTTCTTTTGTCGTGTTTTTTCTTTTCAAAAAAAACGAGTACCTTCAAATATTACCTGGGCTACTAATTTGCGATGTATATATCCAAAACTATTCTTATTTTTGTTGATTAACATGATGAGGTTATAACAGGAGGTGGGTTCTATTTAAACAAAAAAAGGTTTTGTGATTTTTTCAATTTAGTTTTCCGCGATCGTTTTTTGGTTAACTATCGAAATATCAAGCAAACGTGACCTCCTTCTACTAGAAAATAGTTACAAATAAAAATTGAAATCGATATATTTCATTTTCCTAAGGCAAAGACTGAGAGATACTCATCAATTCTATGAAGTTAGATATGAGTCAAGTAGCCTATTGTAGCGACCAGCAGGGCAATGTAAACAGGCCTGACTCCTAATCTATTCGAATTTGTTGGTGACCACCACTAGTGGCTAGACGTAACCACGCTGGTCCATTATTTGATGGAAGTTGGCAACTGTAGCCAATTTTACTTCCTTTTTCTTTAATAATTTGATTGTCATACATTTTCAATAAGGTCTGGCTTATCAATGCTCAGTCAGCTGACTGATAAGGCGTATCCTTTAATTCGCCGGTTGAACCACCGGTGCAACCAGTTAGCTAATTTTGTGTACTCTAATTTCCACTGAAACGACCGGTTGTACACCAAACTTGTCTTCATGGTAGAATTCATGGATAGATATGAAATTATACAACAAAAAGAAAGGTCTGCTATAACGTAAAGTCTGTAAAACGTGAAATAGAAATGTTTCTTTCTTCTGCCTCTTTACCGGCTAGAGATGGGATATGTATTCGAACTCAGATGACTAGGATTCAGATAATAACGATTCTGAGCCTCCTAGCTCGACAACATGAATTTTTCGCAGAATCATAGTAATGAGCCGTATTCATCAAACAAACGATATCCTTGATTTTGAAGGAAATCCTCCAGATGGTATTTATAATAATTGGAAGAAAATGCTTTTGCTTTTTGAGTATAAGCATGTTCTTCAAAGCAGTGACATAAGTAAAAGAATATTCATAATCTTCACCTTATACATGGCATATGAAGCTTATCCTTCAAAAATTCTGCGTGTGGTCAGCAGCAGACTGAACTTCGTAACGAAAGGTGGTCAAACGATGATGGCGGAAATTGTGGATGTTAGGGATGTTAAAATGTACAAACCTCGTTTACCTTCACTTGGTCGTGACTTCAAAAAATTACATCGGTTCGACGAAGCAAATGTACAATGGCTTGCGGACAGATTTTTAGTTGAGAATGAGGAAACTCGAGGAGGAGCACCTTCATGTATTCATAAAATGAAGATATGTCTACGCTATCTCGGTGACCCTGGATATCAACAAGGTATTGGTCAGCCACTTGGTGTCAGTCAAGCAACGGTATCTCGGACTGTGGATAGAGTTGTGAACAGCATAGTTGCACAGTCGAACGAATGGATCAAGTTTCCAACTACCAACCATGAACTGATGGAGGCCAAGCGGACATGGCAAAGCATGTATAAATTTCCGACAGCAATTGGTGTAATTGATTGTACAGATATAGGAATCCTGAAACCAAATCGCCATGGAGATGAGTATATCAACCAAAAAGGGAAGCCTGCTTTAAATGTACAAGCCACTTGTGATGCCAGAGAGATGTTCACAAGTGTTGATGTCAGTTGGCCTGGACCAGTGCATGATTCCAGAATATGGAGAAATTCACAGACTAGATCACAACTAATAAATAAAGCAAATGTGCTACTTGGCGATGACGGTTGTAGTATTGAGCGATACCTTGTGACTCCCTTCAGAAATCCTACTCCAGGTGCAGAAATAAATTATAATAAGCCTTTAAAACAAGAAAGTTATAATTGAAGGCTGTTTCGGCCAACTGAAACGCCGGTTTCCTATCCTACAGTATGTTTGCTGAGTAAAGTTGGAAAATATGCCGAAAATAAATATTGCTTGTATTGTACTCCATAATGTTGCGAAGAGCTTGGCCGATCATAACTTTGAGTTAGTTGACAGACCCAGATAAAGATGAAGGAAATCATAAGAATGGCGAACTTCCTCTCCGCCAACTAGGTCAACAAATAAGAATAAACTTGAGTATTATAATAAATAGTTTTACTGATTAAAGTGTATTTATAAGTTATAATAAGTTTTATTTTCTTGAACATCATAAGTTACAGGCGGCTTCTGACGCAGCATCATTTCTAATTTCGTTTTATAATACTCTTGTTTGTTGTTGTTTTAAAATACTTGTTTGGTACTACTGTAATAGCACTAGACGTTGCAGTTCTTTTGTAGTTAACCCTTTGGTTTCCTCAGTTTCGTATTTCTCTGTTGCTAATTTTCTTTTTGGTGGCAATGTCTTCTGAATTGCTGGCACTGTAATACTAACTGTTTGCCCACTGCGCTCGGTATATAGTTCACTTCCTTGTTCTTTAACACTACCAACCTGAATTTCCCCTCTAATTTTCCCAATTGTAGGATTAGAGTCACCTTCTCTAGTTTTCATAAACTTTCCTTCCCAATCTAACAATTTAATTGCTTCATTACCAGCTTTTTTTAGATATTTTTTTCTTCAATCTTGATTTCATGTTGTTGTTTTTTTTAGTAAGCCTTCAGTATCTAATGGTTTACCGAATGTTGATTCGTATTTCTTCAACATCTTGTTCAAGGCATCGTCCTTTCTCATTTTTATTTTTGGAACTTGTGACTTTTGCAAAATAATGGCAATATCATCTGCGATGAACTGCAGGTCGTTGCCATTATTTTCTATAGTTTCCTCATCACTTGAGGATGACATGCTCATTAATTTGATAAAAAACTGTATCCAGTACAAATACGGAACGGTCTGTGTAAGCTCTGGAATACAACTGTCAGTGATACTGAGTGAATGAACTCCCACGTCAACTACAAGCTGGAACAAGTCAGGACATGTCGCTCAAGATATACCCCACGAAGAAGTAAAAGGTATTCATTATGAATCTGAAAACCAGGATATGCTTATACTTCTACCTTTTTCTCCGAAGCAAGACCTTATACTTTTACCTCATGCTTCCGAGGATATGCTTCTCTTTTATGAATACGGCTCATTGCACTGATCGTAGCGGTACTTGAAATAACGCTCTTCGAAACCGAATTTCCGGAATAAGGCACCCAGGAGCAAGGTATCATTTTCCGTACATTGTGAGATCGATAGTTAATTAGCTATCAAACTTGATCAACATACAACAACCACAGATTTCTTTCACGCGTGTGACAAATTAAGATAGCAAGTTCCGGTGTGAATACGACCGATTTAACGTTTGCTTTGTGGATGATGCGATTGGAACCAATAAAATCAAAATTTATCTGTAGGTAAGGATTTCACCAAACAACGTCTTAAAGAGTGTGATAATTTTTTTTGTGTGCAGTTATACCCAAGGTAAAACAGTAAAATCATAACCATCTCATTGACAATTTTTGTTAACCTCCAAACATCTTTGTCATGTATAAAGTTCTTATTGACAAGTAACTAGGTACGACTGCTGGTCATAGCTATATTTAACTAACGATTTGACTAAACATTGATAAGCCGGACTTAATAGTTCTAAGCTCCAATGACACTCGACCCTACGTCATTGCCGATTTCGATAAAAATGGTATCGGAATCAGGCTGGTAATGGGGGGATACAGATACATGTCTGTACCTCAATTAATCAATTAAAAATTGTAATTCTGATTTTGACCGACATTTCAATAAAAAAGCATCTGGTGACAATATCCAGGACTGAAATTCATAAACTCATAAATACGAACATCAACTAAATACATAATCTACTGTAGCTAATTTTTTTCCTTTTTTGTCATTTGCATTCTAGAGTTTCAACTTAAATTATTGGTCCATGTACAGGCGATGCCTTCTATTGGGCCTGTTGTGATTTTATATTTATTTACCCATATTGTTTGTTATCTTTGTACATTGAGTGAATAAATACTATTATTATTATTATTATTATTATTATTATGTCACGAATACCTAAGATAGGAGTTAAGCTCATGGGGTGGTGGTGAAGCAAATAATGTCGAACTGAAACTGAATTTCACGTCCTGCGCATGTAGCATTTGTCTCTGTTGCTGTCATTATGACTGTAAGCAACTCTATGTTGACAGTGTGGACGAGTTGTAAGCATAAATATCGGATAATGTCAATAGAGCACGAAATAATATACTAAGTGACATATAAATCCGAACACCCAGTTTAAATGGTTTTATTTTAATAAAATTTTGTATAAGTACTTAATGAAGCATAATAAGTAAATGATAAATATTTCAAAATGATTGCACTGCTTTAAAGCCCTTTGACCTTTAATAATGTGTGGATGCACCCTGATGTGCTACGCATTCTCCAACGCGCCTAGGCATGCTTCTGATCAGGTGGTCAATGTCCTCCTGTGGTATCTCATTCCAGGCAACCACCAACTCCTCTCGAAGTGCTTCTAGAGTCTGAGGAGGACGTTGCAAATTGAGCAATCTCCTACCCATCATATCCCACACGTGCTCAATTGGGGATAAGTCGGGAGATCTTGGTGGCCATGGTAACAATGTGACATCATTATGTTGAAAGAAGTCTATTGTGAGTCTTGCAACATGTGGTCGGGCATTATCTTGTTGGAAAGTTGGATCTGCCAGGGTGACAAGATAGGGTAAAAGATGGGGTTCTAGAACTTCGTGGATTAACGCTGCGTTCATGTTACCTCTGATGAAGATTAAAGGTGACCTGGAACCATAAGCTATAGCACCCCAAACCATAACTCCAACAGTGTGATGAACATGTCTTTCAACAAAAAACTGTGGATTCCTCCTTTCACCACGTCGCCTTCTAACCCTGGCACGACCATCGTGCATGCCTAAACAAAATCGAGACTCGTCACTAAAGACAATACTGTTCCATTCCTGATCCCAGAGTGACCGTTGTCTGCACCACTCAAGGCGATTACGTCGAGTTAAAGGGAGGACCCAGTGTGGCCGGTATGAAAACAAGCCAAAACTTCTCATTCGTCGGTAAACACTTCGCATGCCAATAGGTCTTCCGTGTTCTGCAAACCATTCATTTGCAATGGACATGGTATTGGAGAAACGGTCCCTTAAGGCCAATAATCTTAGGCGGCGATCTTCACGGTCTGTTTTTCTACGGCGGCGTCCAGTGCTCCTTGCTCTTTGCGTACGGCCTTCTCGAAGCCATGCCTGACAAAACCTAACCACAGTGTCTCTACACTCCTTTGCACTCTAACTGGAATTGCCCGAAAGGAAAGTCCAGCTTCCCGAAGTCCCCCTATCAAACTCACCAAGTTGACGAAATCGTACAGGTATCCGTACTCTAGGCATCGTAACCGATCGTAAAGGATGTCAAGAACGAAAATCCGCCAACATTGATTCTTTACTGCGGCTGAAATATTCATTTTTAGAGCGTTAGTGAATTAAGAAAAAAGCAATATAAAAACCGGAATGTCCAACTGATAAGGCTGAAATTTTTTTCACTTGTTATTTACAGTAAGGTAAATACATTCACCAACTTTTATTAAAATAAAACCATTTAAACTGGGTGTTCGGATTTATATGTCACTTAGTATACATCTACAATGCATTTCGAAACGCGAGTGCAATAATGCAAGGCAAAAAAAAACTGGTGAGGGAATAGGATCTTCACACCTTCTTGTAAATGTTGAGATTGTATCTTACCAGTTACGAAAAAATGTGGAGATACTATTTATTCACTCACGGTTTTTCTAATAAGAATGCTTTGTTTGCTTTGCATTCCTCTCACTCACTCCTCCAGCCCCTTTCCACAAGCCAAAAACATCTGACAGAACTGAGCCCATTTCATTGCAGCTGTGCCACCGCTTGAACAATTTCCTACGGGATATGACGGCTTCAGTTGCTAAAATGAACAATCTACCCACATTAGTAAATATTAGAGGTTCGTTTTTAATATGTCATCCAGCATAATATTTTATAGTTTCAACATTAAAATTACTGCGGTAGTACCCGGAAGTTCGTAATAACGTTAATTATACTAGGACGAATACTAAAAATTACACTTTTAAACATATAACAGAAAGCAGTACTTAACTGAATTCCGCGTCTAAAGTAACTAGGTACTTATCTTCATACTTATCTTCCATCCAGGAAAAATGATTTGGATGCTTGGAGTGGGTTTGGAATAATGATCAATGTCACAGCTTTCACTGCCGCTAACTAATCATTAATACGGTATTGTTGTAATTTGATGTTTACGTTGCGACCCTAATCTCTGGTCCACTTTTCGCATGTTTGTCTTTACGTATTTCGCTCATACAAACTTTCTTCTCTGGTAAACAGTCAGTAGCCTTAAGTATTAATTTTGTCCATCTATATTGGTCATTTGTCGCACTGTGCACTCGAGAGACAGGGAAAAGTGGAAACCAATTTTGTTTTCGCTTCAAATATGCGAGTTCATAGCAAATAGTTTGAGAGCCAGCGACACTTGAGCTTAGCTGGTTGCGAACTCCTGTCGAACGGGCACAAAAGGGCTGTTTACAATAACTGCGCAAAGTTCATAAGGATAGTTAGCGATTACCTTTTTTAATGAAGATTAAACATTAAAATGAATTTGCAGCATCTTCTGTCTCCTGCTCCTCCTGTCCTTTGCCAATACAACCGAGACTTGCTCACACAAAAGTACTATCTTGCGAAAATTTCAAAGATCGGAACTAAATGACACTTGTCTCTTAATTGGAAATGATGTCTGTAATTAATGACTAGCTCGCTCAGTACATTCATAGTCAGCCTGTTTGATGCTATTTGAGACAGGAATGTTTCCGTCCGACATACTAATTTTTGTCTTTGAAAGTCGAAGCTTCATGAAAAAGATCATGAACGAACCTGTTGACGTTTGCGCAATTGTTATTAACATTCCTTTTGCACCCGTCCGACAAGGGTTTGCAAAAATCTAACAATACCACATAATTTTTATTAACTTGAAGCTTACAAACCTTCAATAATTAATCTTTTCCCTGTCCCTCGAACTATTTGCCAAAAACTCATACATCTGAAGCAAGAACCAATTTATTTACACTTTTTGGCATCTCTACCTCCCGCCTGGTGAGAAAATAAGTTCAAAGATTTGTATTATTGTTGAAATTTTCACAGAATCCCTTCCAAGCCTATGCCAAATAATGTTAGTCACATATCTGTCTTTTAGAGAATGCAGCAGTCGTGTAGCGATACTTACACTTCATTCAAGTACGAGGGGTGCCCAAAAAATACCAGAATAATTTTTCTTAAACTTTTTCACAAATTGACCTTATCTCTTTCAAAAAACTGTCCTCTACAATTGATACACTTGTCCCACCGGTGCTTCCGCTGCTCGAAACATTTTTTGAAGTCTCTCTTAGAATTGTCTGACAGATCCTCCCTCGTTTTTTCTTGACCTCTTCAATGTCGTCAAACCCCCTTTTCATCCGTGGAAATAAGTAAAAGTCGCATGGAGCCAGGTCAGGCGAATAAGGTACGTGAGGCATCGGAACCATGCCATTTTTGGCCAGAAACTTTCGAATTGAGATAGCTGTGTGCGCAGGTGCATTGTCGTTGTGGCAGAACTAGTCTCCTGACTGCCACAAATCGAGTCCTTTTTGCCGAGCACTGTCTCGCAATCGGGTTAAAACCTCCAAATAGCACAAGCTCTCGAATTTTTTCAAGATTTTCGTCGATTCGGGCAGTTGATGGATGTCCAGAACGAGGTTTGTCATCAATCGACATGTCGCCATTTTTAAATCGAGCAAACCTCTCGTTTACCTGAGTTTTACCCATATCATCACCTTTGTAAGCTATTTTCAACATTAAAACAGTTTTACCAACTAGAAAGCAAAATTTCACAGCTGCACGTTGCTCACTGAATCTTGCGATCGTAAAAAACGAAACAAGCACGAAACAGCTCTAGCAAAAATAATGAGTACAGTGGAACGAAACAAGCCAGATCGACAACTCAGGTGGCACTGAACTGGTAGTGAGTTGCGCTGTACGCCTCCAGGGGCAGAAATGTGTACTACACAAGCTCCGCCCACTGCGATGCTATTCCGGTTATTTTCGGGTACCTCCTCGTATGTTTCCCCAACAGTATGGAAGAATCGATAACATTCTGGCTATGCTTCCTTCAAAGTGACGTAGACATTGCGTCCATAATAAATCAGCGACACATTACCATTGTCAGGCGCTTTGGTTGCAATGTTGGTCAAAGTTATATTACAATTACGAAAATTTTCAGTGAAAAAAATTTTTTTAATAAATAGTTGATGAACTTAATAACACGATGTCGAACATTGGTCTTCTGCATTCCTCCCATTACCAGCCTCACTCCATTTTTATCCAAATCCGCGATGACGCAGCATCGAATGTCGTTGGAGCTTAGCCTATAAGTAGTGTTTTCAATACAGCTGTTCAAAGATAGAGGAGTCATCCGAGGATTCATCATCAGTGTTACTCTACTAATCTTGAAGCACTTAGTTGGATCTACTCTGGTACTTATTTTTACCAGCGAAATTGTGAAAGCTTGTGGATTTGGAGATATAGCTGTTAAATCGGCTGTTATTACTGGAGGCATGATTCAGGTATACTCATTGTGACCGAATACAGAATCACAGTTTAGATGAAAATCAACAACTCTCTTATCGCTGACACCAAACGGTCGCTTTTTAGATGGGAATGTGAAAAGCGAAGTTCTCAAATTCTCGTAGATCAAACAAAACAACAATTTGACAAATGTAGTGTTACGTGACCATGTTGACGCGGGTAGCTAATCACAGTAAGTGCGTTAACACCGCTCTGTGCTAAGAGATGGCGCAATAATAGCTCATTAGGGCCGTGCTCTGTGCCCTATACGAGGACTTAGGGCCGTATCGTCAGTCGTTCCTACAATTGTAGGACTCCCGTGTGGGGTCCTTGATTTTCATAGTATTTGCTCTCCTTTCGGACGGCTGTCCTATTGTGAGGTTATGTATGTAATCTTAAGAAACAGGTCTCAAAATAGAGCGCTGAGACAAAACAGTAGAACTCTAGAAATTTTCCTGCATTTCTGGAGGACAGGAAAAACTATGAAATTCAAGGAGGCCTCTATAGGCATCCTACAATTGTAGGAACGACTGACAATACGGCACGTAGAACTGCACTAGTGATCATGGTGTGATCATAACCAGTGTTCTCGGGTACTGTAATCATTCTTTTACCTTTTTTGCATTCTTCAAAGGGTTATTCTGTGTTAGTCAAGAATAAACAGGATTATTAGTTATCCATCGACGACGAGCTAATCAAATTTAATTGATGGAAAATTTCCACAAAAGGATGCTAGGTCAATCAAAGGACGAATAATGTTCATAATATCAGTAATACACCTCAACATATTTACTATTAAATTTTCCTATTCTGTGCCAGCTAGCATTTAGTTACAAGATGAAGAGCGGCATTACGTCGGAGCAGAACGAGTGCAAGCCACGAGCAAGGTGACAACTAAGGCTGCTTACGACGTTAGGTCCTAACGAGCGACAGCTGCAGTAGCAAGAAGCTTTGCTTTATGGTGATCTATGATGTTAAGAATCCCTCCAGCACTGCACAATGGCAGAAAATCGTCAAATCTTTCAAAAAACTAGGCACTCCTCGCTATCTATTGAACGTTTGGACAAAAGACGATGAGGTAACCAGGGGAGTGCCGTTGGGCTCCATCCTAGAGCCGCTGCATTGGAACGTATTCTGCGATGAGGTTTTTCGGTTGCAGATTCTGCCTGGAGTTAGCCTGGTAGAGTATGCTACGATCTCGCTGTGATGGTGATTAGCAAAGAGAAAGGTACACAAGAAGGACTTTTGGCATATGGAATCCCTAAAATGAGCATATAGATGGAAACAAAATAACTGGAGATTAGCTCCTGAGAAGACGGAAATGGTTACAGCTTTTGGCAGATAAAAGCTAACGTCATTGGCTGTTAAAGTTGAGAGTGCCGAGATTCGGAGCCAAAACGTAATAATTAAGTATCTAGGTCTGTGACTCGATAGAGGACTGAGTATGATTGAACATTAAGGCGCATCACTGATAAGGTAAATAAACTCATCGCTTCTCTGATACGGCTCATGCCTTGTGATGGAGGCCCCAGCAGTAAGAGTCGCAAGATTTTGGAAGGAGTGGCAAACAGTATCTAGGCCTCAAGGAGAGGAAGATAGATGCAGCTGATGCTCAGTAGCCAGCGGAAAGTAGTAGCATGTATGATATGGGCTTACAGAACGGTGTCGACCCATGCCGGCTGCTCAGACATGCGCGCTCTATAAAAAGGGCACCGAAGCTAGAAGCGACGAAATAGAGGCACTTTTTACCAGACTCCTCCTCATCTACTCGAATGTGGTACGGGTTGACTGTCAGAGAAAGCTGGAATTGATGCTGGACAAGAGTCTCATTACTGACAATTTTCTCACGCATGTAGGCGAGTGTAAATGGGTTGGTATTCAACCACTAGTGAAACAGATGACGCTGATCAAGGTACAAGAATACAAAAATAGACAAAGGAGTTATTAGTAGATGGAGAGTAGATGACTAGTAACCTAGCGCAGCGCTAGCCACTATGACGAAACGCTTCAGCTATACGTATTATCCTGCTGGATCGTGTGGCAAACGACTGGGGTGTTTTACCAAGTGTGACGGTTCTGGACAATATCATTCTTCGGGCAGAAAAGCCCAACAATGAAAAACTCTCATTTCTACCTGAGAGTGGATATAAAAGCTTTTTCCTGTTCAAAAACAGAAAAGAGTCCTGACGAGTGCCTTGTATGGAACGGATGTGAACATCAAACGCGCAGAGGTAGTATTCCAGCTGCATCAATGGAATGTCCAACACGGGTTTCTTGGCAGCGCGAAAACTTGTCACTCTTTTATATCTGTAATACCGTAAACTAACCTGACAGCTTACCTCTTATAGTCCTTGAGAAAACCATCAAAATATAAATTTAAGAACAAAGTACCGGAAATGAATAAAAAATTGCGAATAGTCTTCAAGTAACTTGCACGATTTTCTGCATGACTTGCACTGTTAAAATCTAGAATTCCTACTTTCTCTCAAAACTGTAGCAAAATGGCTGTTTTGGTGATTTCACAGGTCCACAAAATAAAAATTTGCATTAAGTAGGTTGCCTCAAAATGTCTTCCCTACCCTTACTGAAGGTATCGACTACCTGGCAGGCAGTGTCGGACAATGGCTATGCTGGGATACTCAAACAGTTTAGTGGCTCGAGATTAGGAGACAGCAGCAGGCGCAGACAGGATCTTGTGCGCACCGGTGTAAATTCGTAGCATACAGCAAGTGCGTCCTAGACGCGACACGTCCGTTTTTTTTTATACTTCAGCTACCACGAAGGCCTAAGGCCTAAGCACCCATTGGGTACCGTGGGGCTATAGGGGGATACATGGGAAAGGAGGAACGCCACACGGACTCTGGCGGGGGAACACGCGTGCATGCAGCATGCACACATTCTGGCTCCGCCTACGAGATCCGCCGGGTGGTACCTCCGCGTTCGACAGTCAGAGACCGTCTACCACCTACGGACAATGACAACATCCATAGCCAAGAGAAAAATTTCTCCTGGGACGGGACTCGAACCCGCACAGCGCACGGCGACTGATCAGGAGACCGAAGAGTCTACTACTGCGGCCACCGCTGCTGCCTAAGTTTGATGTTTCTCCAAGCTTCAAGGGCAAATGATCGGAGAAATCTCTGATGTACGATTTTTAACCGATACAAAATGTTGCCGAATATGGTGCCAGCTGCCTATAAAATGTCAAAAAAGGTCCTTGGCATTGTAGTTACCATGTGAGAGAGTTTCATCAAAATTTGAACGTAACTTTCCAAATTATAGGGGGTCAAGGACGAGCGTTCAAATAGACTGGCAGGCAGACAGATCGACGGAAACGAGCGAAAATGGTTTTTCGTGTTCTGTATATCGGCGTTAAACGCTGAAACCTGTCATTACCTGAAATGCCTAGTCAGTCCCCGTATTGCAGGCAAAGACCGTAACAGTTTGATTATTACGACGTTCGACTAAGCATTTCGGTTATTCCCTGTAATGACTGAACAATTTCAGTCAAACACCGTAACAACACAATACTTCGTTACTGTATTTGCCTGATTCAGTTATTAATTGTACCAGTTTTGTGTTCATTTGCTTGAGTACACACATCGTCTTTTCTGTGTTTGTAAAGATGTCGCAGCATTCAGAATTATTTTACAAGTAACTAAGTGAATACTGTGACACTGTGAATTAGAAAAAAACATTAAAAAGCAGTGTTTATCCAACAGATATGTTTGTTCAAAAAAAAAACCTTCTTGGTAGTTCAAGGTGTCATAGAAGTCTAACATACGCTAACAGATAATGTTTGAAATAATATAAATTCTATGTAACTTTTATTTGTTCTGCATTTTTTTTTAAGTTTACTTATTGTTTTATATTTTTTCGATAGTTTCAGGATAATACATTAGTGATCAATGTCCACAATAATGTAATAATAAAGACGTTTTAATCTATTCTTCTTTCCTTTTAGACCACTTCATGCTTGATTCTTTTTTTTAATATTATTGATAAAGTAGCACTTTGTTATATTATGTACTTCATTGGAGCAACAGCGTTTGACTTAAATAGGCGACTGCAGAAACGAAGTTAATGTGGTTGTTACGGTGTTTAACTGAAATTGTTCAGTAAAGTTACAGGGAATGGCAGAAATGCTTAGTCAAAAGTTGTAATAATCAAACTGTTACGATGTTTGCCGGAAATACGGGGACTGACTAGGCATTTCAAGGAATGACGGATTTCAGCGTTTGACGCCGACATATACAGGGTGTTCCTTAATGATATGCGAATATTTAAGGGTGTGAATCTACATGAAAGATTAATGTTAGTTTGCTTTATAAACTATGGTCCAAAAATGTTTCCTTACTAAAACTCTAGGTGTTGAAGTTTTAAGAAAAAAATGGAAATTAATTAATATTTTCAGAAGCGCTTCAGATATTTCATTGATATTTAGTACGTAGTGGCAGTTAATGAAGTTGCATATTCTTCAATTCAAGATTAATTTTTAGCTTCAACAGTGGCGTGCGTACGGGTATCGACTTAGATGTTTTTTAAGAAAAAAATGGTACGCCAATGATTTGTTGCCAAATATAAATTATTTTTGAATTCCGCGTTCAATTTAAAACAAATGATCTTCCTTGAATTGTTTTCTTTTGATGCGCCATTTTTGAGTAAAAAAATAAAAACCGTTCTATTGACTAGCTTGCAAAATTATTAATTTAATTGAAAAAATTAAACAAATTAGGGGTAATGAACAACAACCACTGACCACATAAACATAGCATCAAAAACAACGATATGATTACAAAATTGATGAAAATGGCGCCCTGCACTTAGTATGCATGCTTTCGTCCTCCTTCTCATGGAATTGCGCACTCGTTGAAATATCCCTGGAGTGTTTTTTATTTTATCACAAGCTGCAACTATTCTTTCTCTTAATTCCTCTACAGTGTTAATGGGACTTGTGCACACTAGTGTCTTAAGGTAGCCCCACAAAGAGAAATCTAAACTGTTGAGCTCTGGAGATCTTGGTGGCCATTCTTGCGGCCAACATTTGGATAACAGTTTGTAAATAATTACGAACCACTACACTGAAATGCGCTGGTGCACCATGATGCATGTACCACATATTGTTTCTTATTGCTAACGGAACATCATCAAGCAGCAAAGGCAACTCTTGTTGAAGAAAATTGAGGTGTCTGTCCGTCAATAAAGTGGTTGCCAATAATTCCTTCCCATACGTTAACTGAAAATTGGTGTTGGAAATGGGTTTCGGTTACGGCATGATTATTGTGGAAATTCTGAATGGCAGTTAGAGAAAAATTAACTTCGTCCGTAAACAGAATCATTGACTCAAATTGCGGATTTTGTGTATTTTTTGAAGATACCATTGGCAAAAGGTTCACACTTTGGAAAGTCAATGGGCAGTAATGCTTGTACTCTTAAAATATGGTAAGGATATAACAAAAAGTCCACTAAACTTCTCCAAACAATTTGATGACAAAGTGTCTAGGGATCTTCCTCGTACTCGTTTCAGGATGTTCTTTGACTTCGTGCAGCACTCATCCTCAATTTCAGGTGTTCTCACACTTAGAGGTATACCTTCAGATGTTTCTTTCGGGACAGAATCAGTTGCAACAAGACGACGATGAATATTAGGAAATGTTCGACTATCTGGCAAAGCACGATCGGGATATCTCTGGTGATAAATCCGTCTGGCTTGCTCACCATTACCTTAGGCAAGGCCATATACGTAATGAATTTCCGCTATTTCTGCATTTGGATAATTCACCATTATTAATAAGATTGTAAAAACTGAATAATAAAAAAGATGTCACAGCGAACAGATTTTTTTTTTTTTATACTCCAACTACCACGAAGGCCTAAAACCTAAGCACCCATTGGGTACCGTGGGGCTATATGGGGATACATGGGAAAGGGGGGACGCCACACGGACTCTGGCGAGGGAACACGTGTGCATGCAACATGCACACATTCTGGCTCCGCCTACGAGAACCGCCGGGTGGTACCTCCGCGTTCGACAGTCAGAGACCATCTACCACCTACGGACAATCACAACATCCATGGCCAAGAGAAAAATTTCTCCTGGGACGGGACTCGAACCCGCACAGCGCACGGCGACTGATCAGGGGACCGAAGAGTCTACTACTGCGGCTACCGCTGCTGCCTAAAACAAACACACAACATCCATGGCGGAGGCGAGATTCGAACTCGCGGCCCGGCCGGCCGGCTGATCAGTAGCACGACACTCTGACCCACGCGGCCAACCGAGGTTCCATAAGATTTGAATAACAGAGATTTGTCGGATGTCAAAAGCCAGTGACATATTCCAGAACAACTGGATATTTGTTGCTAAATTGAATTCTCCAATTATTACATTAATTTTCTCGGACAATAGAACGGCTTTTATTTTTTACTCAAAAATGGCGCATCGAAGGAAAACAACTCAAGAGAGATCATTTGTTTTAAATTGAACGGGGAATTCAAAAATGATTTTTATTTTGCAAAAAACCAGTGGCGCACCATTTTTTCTTAAAAAAAGTCAATACCCGTACGCACGCCACTGTTAAAGCAAAAATTATTTTTGATTTGAAATATATGCAATTTTATTAACTTTCATTACGTACTAAATATCAGTGAAATATCTGAAGCGGTTCTGAAAATATTAATTAATTTCCATTTTTTCCTAAAACTTCTGATTTCTTGTAAGAAAACATCTTTGGGCCATAGTTGTAGATTCACACCCTTAAATATTCGCATATCATTAAGGAACACCCTGTATATCATGTAACATTAAAAAAGGCATAATGCTTTAATACTGAAAATTTTGCCCATTACAATACTTCATCGTCAGTTTCCGAGGAAGTAAAAAATGGTTTACGCTGGGGGTCCACTAGATTTCCTTTTGCTGAACACGAATCTGAAGTTAGAATTGGAGGTGGATGTGTGAATATCAACGTCATCTAGACATGAGAACCGCAAACTGTGGCAGTTTAAAATACCAAAATATGTGATGTGTAATGATTCATTTACTTTCATATCTGTTCAGCGACCCTCAATCGTGGATTCATATTCGTGTTTTGCGGGAAAAAAAAATGGGAAAAGTTTAGTTGGGTTATCAGCACACACCACTTTTTTATTATGTAGTCCAGAGTTTTCCCATTGAGCTACTAGCGGTCAGGTTAGTTTAGTTGTCGTTGTATACTAAGTGACATATAAATCCGAACACCCAGTTTAAATGGTTTTATTTTAATAAAATTTTGTATAAGTACTTAATGAAGCATAATAAGTAAATGATAAAAATTTCAAAATGATTGCACTGCTTTAAAGCTCTTTGACCTTTAATAATGCGTGGATGCATCCTGATGTGCTACGCATTCTCCAACGCGCCTAGGCATGCTTCTGATCAGGTGGTCAATGTCCTCCTGTGGTATCTCATTCCAGGCAACCACCAACTCCTCTCGAAGTGCTTCTAGAGTCTGAGGAGGACGTTGCAAATTGAGCAATCTCCTACCCATCATATCCCACACGTGCTGAACTGGGGATAAGTCGGGAGATCTTGGTGGCCATGGTAACAATGTGACATCATTATGTTGAAAGAAGTCTATTGTGACTCTTGCAACATGTGGTCGGGCATTATCTTGTTGGAAAGTTGGATCTGCCAGGGTGTCAAGATAGGGTAAAAGATGGGGTTCTAGAACTTCGTGGATATAACGCTGCGCGTTCATGTTACCTCTGATGAAGATTAAAGGTGACCTGGAACCATAAGCTATAGTATCTCAAACCATAACTCCAACAGTGTGATGGACATGTCTTTCAACAAAAAACTGTGGATTCCTCCTTTCACCACGTCGCCTTCTAACCCTGGCACGACCATCGTGCATGCCTAAACAAAATCGAGACTCGTCACTAAAGACAATACTGTACTATTCCTGATCCCAGAGTGACCGTTGTCTGCACCACTCAAGGCGATTACGTCGGTGTTCTCGAGTTAAAGGGAGGACCCAGTGTGGCCGGTATGAAAACAAGCCAAAACTTCTCATTCGTCGGTAAACACTTCGCATGCCAATAGGTCTTCCGTGTTCTGCAAACCATTCATTTGCAATGGACCTGGTAGTGGAGAAACGGTCCCTTAAGGCCAATAATCTTAGGCGGCGATCTTCACGGTCTGTTGTTCTACGGCGGCGTCCAGTGCCCCTTGCTCTTTGCGCACGGCCTTCTCGAAGCCATGCCTGACAACACCTAACCACAGTGTCTACACTTCTTTGCATTCTAACTGCAATTGCCCGAAAAGAAAGTCCAGCTTCCCGAAGTCCCACTATACGGCCCCTATCAAACTCACTAAGTTGACGAAATCGTACAGGTCTCCGTACTCTAGGCATCGTAACCGATCGTAAAGGATGTCAAGAACCAAAATCCGCCAACGTTGATTCTTTACTCCGGCTGAAATATTCATTTTTAGAGCGTTAGTGAATAAAAAAAAAGCAGTATAAAAACCGGAATGTCCAACTGTCAAGGCTGAAAATTTTTTCACTTGTTATTTACAGTAAGATAAATACATTCACCAACTTTTATTAAAATAAAACCATTTAAACTGGGTGTTCGGATTTATATGTCACTTAGTATATTTGTCACCATGTGGGCCAAATGCCGATTTATAAACTCTGACGCTGCCGTGCCGCCGTCGTACCATTACAACTTGATGAGGTTATGACGCATTATTTAAGCAAAAATTGCATTCTTCTTACATAGTAGACCAAACTTGTAACACACATATTGTGATAATTTATGTTATTATTTAAATAAACTAAATAAAATATAGCAAGCAAAAGAAGCCGCGCTGACTAAAACAAAACGTGTTATGTCAAACAGATCGGAAGACGCGCGAAAAAACCAGCTGAGCTGTCGCAACAAACACGTGGTTTGCAGCCTGCCTTTCATAGGTTGAATCGAGAATGGCAACGACAAAAAGTTGAAAGTAGTCTAGCATGAGCATTTCGGATGAACTTTGAGGAAGTCTTGTTTATAAACAGTTTGACGTCAAGCACATGACTCAAGTTCTGCCTTATGGCAACGCTACGACAGTGGTGCGGAACGTCAGAGTTTATAAATCGACCTTAATGAATGTTTTGTTTACCTGGTATTAAATAACACCTACTTTTCACTATTCGCTATCAATGAATGATAAAGCAAACAATTAAAAAATCTGACCAAACCAATAGTGAAACTGTGGTCGTTATTTAAAGATACTCCTCTCTCGTTCTGATGCACCTATTTGAGACCCTATATTTTTTGTATAAAGTCTGCACTTGCTCCTCGTATCACAAATATTTCAAATTGAGGGAAAAAGCTGTTGATGTCTGTCGATTGAGCAAAGTTTCATGTTTTTAGGCATTAGCTTCGTTCGTACCATTATACCTCGTCGATAGGGTAGGCCGCAGATTCCTGCTGATTATTGGTTTCTCGATCACGTTGATATCATCTGCAGTACTAGGTAAGAAATATTATGTGCAATATTGCACTTCTGATTACAGTCCAAGTCACTTAAATGAAATTGTCTAACACATAGCGGAATAATATGTCGATAGCTCAGTTATGAAATCATCCAAAATGCTAGGCATATATGCGCTCCTTGCTCGGAAAATATGCCACTGTCTACGGATGATTCGCAACTATGTGGCAAACTGAACATACCTCTTTTTAATGGAATATTGTAGTGCATTCTCAAGGGCAACTGCACTTCTAAAAAATGTAATTTTACCTCTCAAAAGTTTTGTTTACCTTATAAAAGGAATAACCATTTCCATTCCACCTCCCACGCCACAGTTATCCTGAAAAGTTTCGAAGATAGGATGCCAGGTTTATTTTTGATATAATGACATGTTCAGGGAGGCCAATATAAGTTTATCCATCTTTTTATCTCAGAAAAATATATAGAAAAATGTTACATACAAACATTTTTTGTTCAAATCAGAGTTTTATTTTATTATATTTTAGCATGTACTTTAGTCAGACTGATCATCAACCTCACTTAGTACATAGCAACCCGTATATTTTATCATATTTTTAGGTTCTACACTTGGTTTGAAATACCTTTTGTCATTAGATGTCATTCTGCTTCGTTTTTGACGTGTTGAGTTTTGTTCATTTTTGTTATCCCCAATACGGCACATTGCTATGAGAGAATACATTTATGTCAACAAATAATGGTCTAGTCCATCTAGCGTTCCCCCCATATTTTTTTAAATTTCATCCCATCGAAACACATACAAACTTTGACAAATTGAATGTAAAAATACTTAGGTACCTATTTTGGGAAGAACAGTCTACATATTAATGTGACATCTGAAATTTAGCCTGTGGCTTACATGTCGATAGTCCTCCATCTCGTTTGGAAAATAATAACCACATGCATTTGAAATTCTTCTTTAATGTAGACGTTTCAATCACAAAGGTAATCTTCTTCAGTATAATGACATATAAATATAAACACATAATAAATATGAATACATATAAATATATGTCATTGTACTGAAGAGGATCACCTTTGTGATTGAAACGTTTATATTAAAGAAGCATTTCAACATGTGGTTTTTTGGCCAAACAAGCACGGAGGATTGCCATACTTATACAGGGTGACTTTGAAGTTGAGTCATTAATTTTCAGATAATGATTGTAGAAGGAAGATAAACCAAAATATGTGTGTAAAAATAAAAAAAAAATAAAAAAATGTTTACCTTGTTTTATAAAGTATCCTCCCGACAAGTATTTCAGTGCGGACCTGTATTTGATCGTGAGGTCTTGGAGCACCGGCATGCCGTCCATATGTGAGGTCTTAATTCAAATGATTCACGAACCCGTTGTACTACATTAACAAAGGCACAAGGGGTTGGTTGCACTCGATTGGGAAACCGATCCGCATAAACATGTGCCATTTTTTGTTTCGTTTAAGCCACGCAACAGATACCACTATTCACTGACACTGACTGTATACAAATGAATGAAATACTTGTAAAAACATCGTTCCAAATTCTTTCGCTTTTTTGTTTCCGATGCGATGAACCGATACGGCGGATTATATCCGTTGTCGCCAAACACGAGGACATATTATTATTGAGACAGGGCGGTACTCAAACTTCCAAAGGGCTATAACTTTGTTACTTTAATTTTACCAGAAAAATGGTAAAGGAAAAAAACATTTCTTTTGATCAGATCTACTCACTGTTAAAATAAATGACGCAACTTCGAAGTCACCCGATATACATATTTCCTATACTCGAACAAGGGATGTCAAGGTTTGACAAAAATATATGTATTTTCCATAAGTTATAGTTGTTATTTTTTTCTTTTTCTGTTAAAAACCTAACTTATGCTTTCAATCCCATTATAAGTCAGATTACATGAAATATGAGTAATTATTCCGGTATGGTTGTTTTTAGTAATATTCCAAACAAAGCAACTTAAAGCTAACGACATTACAATGTCTATAATAAGAAGAAGACGTGAAATCATATACGGCTCTCCACTCTAAATAAGTGAGTCTTTTAAAATTCAACTTGTCAGAGTTTGGATGTGCCTTATAATCGCTCTGAAGATTTAATGAGGAGGAATTTGGAAACATACTGTATGTAGTATTAGGTCACGTTAATTGGACTAGATCATTATTTGTTCATATAAATGTTTCCTCTAATAGCAAAGTGTTCTGGGGTTAACTGAATTTGGATAAGAATAATAATATATTTATAAAATATTTCAAATCGGATTTTTAATCCTGAAAACGTAATAAGCTATAGTGGTTGCTGCTAAAAAAAAGAACTCGATTCTCGCTCTGGAAAAAGTGTGGTCTGGCAGTATTCAGTCCCTACTAAAGGTTTGTGCTGAATCATCGTGTGTAGACCGCAAGAATGGTTGTTTCCATAGTCGCGCCTCATTAGTAGCCTTCCAAGAGATTCACATAAAGCGCAACCCGCAACACTGATAAAGCCGCTACAAAATCCACAGTAATATTCCCGCCACCTCCTCCCAACAAACACAAGGGTCTTTTCCAATAGTGCCACCTGTGGATATTCGCCTGAAGTGCTGTCCTATTTGGTTTATATTCCACAAGTGAGAGAAGCGCTGGCGCCAGCAAGAAACCTCCAAACAGAGACCAAGAATACCTCCACTATCTGAGCTCAGGGATTAGCGACTTTTTACCGGGCCATCAAATGGTTCAGTGAAACAAGCCTTTTTCGTTCGCCAGTGCCGTAACCGCCCTCTTGCATGCTGCACGGTGTTTAGCGTCACATTATAAACATCACCATGTATACGCTAAAATATAATAAAATGGCATTTAGATCAAAATAAGTAACTTTTGTATGCAACATTTCCTTAATAATCGAGGTTTCTGAGAATAGGGGGTGGATGGAGTTATATTGGCCACCATGTTTATCACGTATTGGCCACCATGTACATCACGGAGCCAAGTTACTTCCGTAGCTCCATCTGTTTGTCTGTCATTATGTCCGCTAATCATTGATCCCTGTATAATTTGGAAAGTCCCGCTAAGATGGAATTTTAGCGAAGGTTACTACTATGTCAACCACAAAAAAGTTTTGTAGTTTTTGAAAAATAATTCAAGTGGCTGCGGCCCTAAAGACAAAGAAGCGGCGCTACAGGCAACATCGATAACATAAAATGCTGCAACTTTTTACAAGGTTGTTACTACTCCAAGATCAAAAGTTTTGTAGTTCCTGAAAATAAAAGCCACCCAACTTAATTTTTTGATATGTCACAAACCTCTGGTCATTTTCAGAAACTTTTTTGTATGGGTTAAAATTGGGGTTATATGATGTAGGAAGTGGAAGAGGATATATATCATTTTTTTTAGCAGTGGTATATTTTTACAGAAGTTATCTGTTATAAGCCAGCTATTCTTATACTTAGTAAGGCAAGAATTCCGAAGATATTGAGGATTCAGAGCTAACTATCAAAGGTTATCAACTAGTACGTTGTGATAGTAGCAGCAGGCACACAGGAGGAACTGTCTTTTATATTAGAGATGGAATTGAATATAAAGTCAAAAGGAAAATCATTAGTCATCCGAATTATTGGTTTTGTTTTATTGATGTGATAGTGAGAGGTCAAAAGTGGACAATTGGTGTGAGTAAATGCATTTTAGTAGGGGATGCAAATATAGATTTTAAAGATCATAAAAATTTCTATACCAAAAAAATTCAACGTTTATTTGATGCGTATGGGGTTGATCAGTTGGTCACTGACTATACAAGGGTAACTGATATGAGCATGTCTTTGATAGATTATGTTGTTTCTAATCATGGGAACATTGAGGCTAAGGTGCATGATCAACCAAAGTTGTCGGATCATTCTATTGTATCTGTTAGTGTCTTTTCAAATATTGCTAGCTAAACAGTCAAAACGGTTGAAATAAGGAATTTAAAAGACGATGAATTACTAAAAATAAACATAGACTTGTTGTTTTGTGACTGGTCAACGAATAGTACTAATGTCAACGCAATTTATGAGAATTTACGGGCGAATATAACTCAGGCAGTCAATGCAAATTCATCTAAGCTTTCATTGTCAGTGCGAGATGACCAGGTTCCCTACTACGATATTGAACTCAAAAATAAAGCTAGGGAGCGAGATCTTGCCTACAAACAATTTAGGAAAAGTGGCCAGCCAATTGACAAACATAATCAGTGGGAGAAATACCAGATGTTCAGAAATAAATATGTTAACTTGTTAAAAATGAAAAAAAGACAATATTTTGAAGAAAAAATTGATCAGATTAAACGTAACCCCAAAACTATGTGGAAAACATTGAAATCTTTAATAAAGCCGGTAGGAGCTACTACTTTCGATAGAATAATTTTTTATCTGAATGACCAAAAAGTTATTTCCAGATGTAAAGCGGAAATAGCTGATAATTTCAACCTTTACTTTGTTAGCAGTATTTGTGACATTGTAAAAAGTATCCAGTCTGATAATATATATGTGGATAATGATCTATCTTGTGATGCAGCTACGTTCCTGAAATTTAGATCCATATCATTCAATGAATTGAAACAAATTATACTTTCATTTGAAAATAAAACATACGGTGAAGATATTTTGAATACTAAACTTCTTAAAAATACTTTGCACTCGATTGGTCATGTAATCTTGAATTTTATCAACACTTCACTAGCTTATGGAGTTTTTCCGGATGCATTAGAAGTAAGCATAGTTACGCCCATCCCTAAAGTACCTAATTCCATAGAAGCATCTGATTTAAGGCCTATAAATACTTTGCCACCTCTTGAAAATCTTTTGGAAACATGTGCCCATGATCTTCTGCTCTTCAAATTACAGTAACTGATTGGATGAAACTTATTGATGACAATAACTATGTAATTGCAGTCTTCCTTGATTTCAAAAGAGCATTTGAAACAATAGATAGACGAATATGGATAGATAAATTAAAACAATGTGGAATTGGGGGCACTGTCCTGAGATGGATAATTAGTTACCTGAGTGCCAGAGGTCAAAGGACTAAGATTGGTCCTTCTATCTCCGAAACCATTTCTGTTCGTTTTAGGATTCCTCAGGGTAGTGTTTTGGGGCCATTATTATTTATAATATATTTGAATGATATGGAACTTGTTCAGAGAAGTAGCTCCATAAATCTATTTGCCGATGACTCACTTGTGTACTCAGCCTGCAAAAACCTGAATGAGGCTATTGATATTGTGAACAGTGACCTTGCAAACATTAATACATATTTAAAAATGAAAAAATTGAAGTTGAACACTCAAAAATCAAAAGCAATGGTAATATCAAGCTGAAGTAAAAACAAGAATATTATAAAAGCTAATATCCAAATTAAAATTGAAAAGACAGTTCTTGATATAGTTGATACAATGAAATACCTTGGATTTATGTTGGATAAAAACCTAAACCCTAAACTTTAACAGTCATAGTGACTATATTATTAAGAAAATTTCAAAGAAGCTTTATTTTTTTTTCAAGAGTCTCTAAACAGCTGTCAATGTTTGCAAGAATTACGGTTTACAATACAATAATAAAACCTGATTTTCAGTACTGTTCATCTTTATTATATTTCTTTAGCAAGAACAAAATAGGCACCTTACAAAAACTTAAAAATAGGGGAATGCGGATAATTTTACTGTGCTCTAGGTACACAAGAATAGAATATATGCTGGAGGTTATCAGTGAATCAATATCTTTATTTAACAGCAATGCTATTTATTTATAAAATTGTGAAGGGAACATTACCTAATTATTTAGGTGCGCATCTACGCCCAAATAATGAGATACATTCATATAACACGAGGACGTGTATTCATTTCCATTTAAATAAAACAAATATGAAGAGTGCAATGAAAACAATAATGTACAAAGGTCTATGTGAATACAATAACTTGCCCCACCAAATAAAAAACGCCGACTCGGGTATTTCAAGAAAGCACTTATCAAACACATAAGATCTGACAGAATTTGTTAAATTTATTATATTTGAATATATATGTATGTACTTGTGAAATGCTGTAATGCTACCAGTTGTTGTTGTTGTTGTTGAAATTAGGACTTTTTTTTCTAAATAAAGGACTACTACTACTTTTCCCAACCCCATAACTCTGCGCGCCTATGAGTAATTATTTCACACAACTTATATTCCCCTGTACATTTTCCTTTGAACCTTACAAACATGCTTCTAACAGAAGAGTCGCATATTGCATCTCACAGGAACGCCACGAACCAATACCTATGTGCACAAAACCTTGTCTGCGCCTTGCCGTTTGCCACTCACGGCTGAGAGTATGTGTTATTCTTTTTGTATTACTTTTATTGTGCAAATGCTGAGACTTTTCTCGATTCTGTAAGCACTTTTGTATACAAACATGAATAAGTTATAGTTATTACTCTCAAGCATCCTGTGTATATGCATAAAACTCAAAATGGTTTCTTTAAAGAGGCCTTTCAGTGCAGTGCTTTACCAAAGTGAACAGGGCATTCGATTGAAATACATTTATGATCATGTTTCCACACAGTTATGAATCACCCGATGATAAGCGACATAAATAGTCCAAGCAAATAGAAGTTAGGTTTGCAAAAATTCCCACGAAGCTGCAGACAAGTATAGACCTTGAATACATCATTATCAACATAACAAAACTCCTTATATATCCTTGGATCGGAACCTTGTTATATTTGGGTTAAAATGTCAAAATATCACGTTTTATCATATTTATCTGGAAGGGAAAGAGATACCACAAAATACCCTATACAAAAACTGTAGAGGATAAAATTAGCTATAAAAGTAAAGAACTTTTACTCCTTGAGTCACCGTCTACGATATCTAGTTACCTGTTGACTCTCAGGCCGCTCAATATGAACATATACACGGTGGCCGATATGTAACTGACTGGTTTGTATCTTGAATATTTGTGGAATGAAATCAAATATGTTGATTTTTTCATCTTAATCATTTATTGAAGCTTAGAAATTATGTATGAAAAATAATATCAGACAAACGTCCGCCTCTAGAAGCTGCGCAAACCTGAGCCCTCTTGATTACATTTTCCATCACCTTTTGGTAGGTTTCGGGAGGAATATTTTGCTCTACAGTATTTGATGTTTTGTTGGAATAAACCCTATTTTTCAAAAATCCCAAAAAAAAGTCAGTAGCCGTTAAATCCGGTGACCTTGGTAGCCAGTTGACAGCACCAAATCGAGAAATTGAACGTCGTGAAAATATTTTTTGCAAGATATTCTCCGGAGTACGAACTGTTTGAGCACGGCACCAAGTGACGAATAGTGTTGACACTGGGCACATTATTTCGACCAAAATCGTATCGTAGCATCTGAATCGTTACAACAATCGACTCATTATTTAAGTAAAACGCTTTAACACTACGGACGCGTTGTGGGATCGTGTAGCGCTCCATGATGAATTGGAGTCATGTGCTTTAAGCAACTAGTATGGCGCCACCTACTGAAATGCGCGTCTCAAAGATGACGCGCAATTTAAATCAATCAATTGTATATTGGCCACCCTGTGTGAGGAAGCATCGATGTATGTTACTTATACTAAAATACGTTCCAGTGATACGGGATGCGTCAAAACCTAAACCTGAAAAAAGAAGAGGATAGTATTGATCCGTACCATCCTAACACATCCTGGTCTGCTTAAGGTGTGGTCAAAGTAAACAAAAGCGAAATTGAGTTTTCGCAATAAAGTGATACCCACTTTCACTCATGGGTTTAATATGCTATTTTAATTATTGTATCAAGAGTCGTAAAAGATCGTTACAGTCCAGAATTTTGAATTTGAGGTTACATGTTGAAACTAACATTTTTTTATGCTACCCTGGATCGGTACAAGTAACCACAAAATAGCTTACACCAAAATCATAGAGCGTCTAAGGACCGTATCTTCAGCCGTTCCTACAACTCTAGGACGCATTTATAGCCTTTTTGACTTTCATAGCTTTCTACTGTTCCGTGTCAGCGCCCTATTATGAGGTTTGGTGTTACAAATATCTATTTGCATCAAATTGTTCATGCTTTTGATTTATGTCATCTGTTATATAGCCTGAAATTTCCTACAATTCGAGAAGAAAACATAGCCTGACAATAGGAGAGCGCTGACGCTGACACAGACCAGTAGAAATCTAGAAATATCCCAGCATTTCTGAAGCAGAAAGGATACTATGAAAATTAAGGAGGCCATAAAGGCGTCCTGCAAATGTAGACCCTATATCTCTGTAAAATTGCCCAATTGCATATTTGTGAATCAGTGTTTATGCGTTCCTTGATGTGTAGGATCTAAGACACTGCTGAAAGCGGTAGTATACGCTAGACATACTAACATATCCCATATACAGGGTGTTTGAAAATATGACAATGTATCCGTAAAACAATTGCAATTGTAAGCTGCTTTGTGGTTACATGTACCGTTTCAGGGTAATATCAAAAACGTTAATTTTGACATGTAACCTCCAATACAAAATTTTGGGCTCCAACGATCAATGCGGGCTTTTGATATATTAATTGTAATAACATATTGGATACACGCCTTAAATTTTCAAGTGCGTATGACTTTTTTCAGGAAATTTGATTTCACTTTTATTCATTTTGACCGCAGCTTAGGCAGACCAGGATGTGTTTGTATGATACGGATCAAGACTATCACCTTCTTTTCTGAGTTTTAAAGCACTACGCGTTCAATTCTTTTACATCCAAACCTTTTGTTTCTCATGGAATGCATTTTTAAAAAAGTCACTGATACACCCTGTATAAGTAGAATGTATCTGTATTTTAGCATGAGTCGCATACATCAATGCTTCCACATATATGTATGTTCATATACGAACGGTCGATGGCGTACAGAAATATATGCCGCATAAGAGCAGAAGACTACTTGAGTGTCCACAGATCACTGTATCTCATAAACAGTGACTCAAGGGAATAACAGTACTTCAACAACTTTTCCTACAATTTTTTTTCGCTTTTAGCGGAATATAATAAGTATTACCTGGTATTTTTGACATTTCAACTCCAATAAAACAAGGTTCCGCACTAAGCATATAAGAGGAGTTTTGATATATTATTCATAATGCTGTATCTAAGTATGTACCAATTTTCAGCTTTGTGGTAACCCTACAATATTTTTTGCTGTATTTTGTCTGGGCTATACAGTATCGACCGTATGGTTTTCTTTTTTCTAACTAACCTTTTAAGTTGATCTGGTTTTGAATTTGAGATACGATTTTCTGATCTCTTCCTTTGATTATTATCCAATTGTTATCCGTAGTGGTAAGGGTTGCCTTATCCCCTGTGGCACCCTACCAGATGCGCTACTGGAAAGTTAATAATGTAATCGATGTATATTGCAGGAGCCTTCTACGTCTCTCTAGATCGAAAATTACTGTCTCCGAACTTGCTCAATACATTTAGCTTCGTACCTTTATCTGCTTTGGCCTTATACTGGTTTGGGTATGGTGTTGGACTTGGCAACATCGCCGCATTGACAGCTGTCGAAATCTTTCCAGCATGCTTCAGAGCCAAATTGAAATGCTTCTCGGAATTTGTCAACTGGTTTGTATACATTTTTCTGTAGATGGAGAAACTTCGGTTAGATACAGTTAAACGTAGCCCTTGGAACAAAGGCTCTCCGTGAAATACTTGTCTCAGCGGTTTTAACATACTCAGCATGGTGCTTCCTCCCTTTCAATGTTTGGGTACAACTGAACTTAGCATTTGATTGGACCGCTGGTTTCGTACCACCATACCAAACCGCTTTAAAAGTCCTAAACATGTCCAAAACGAGTAAGATTCGTTAAATATCGCTAAAAAACTGGCATGTTTTTGGGGTCGCTGGGAAGGAATATGATATCCATTTATCAAAAATCAAAATAGCGATTCCAATATAGTGGATGTGTTTGCAAAAAATAAAAGTGTTTTGATTATTCTCAAGTAGGGGTGGAGGGGGCACGGGGGACCGGCGAGGCACATAGGTCCACCCGATTTATTTCGTTACAGGTAGGGTCACCGTTTGGTTTACGTCAAAAATAACAAGATAGCGGTGCACTTCGTGTTCTGTTTCAGTTACATCAATGTCGTTGTAGTCCGAAGATCAGCGTGTACGAAAAATGGATTTTCACGGTAAGTGATGTTAAATTTCATATGATAATAAAGTGTGATTCCCACGAACGTGTTTATATGCTATTATTTTTTATAATACCCAACGAAAACAAGACTATTTCACTATAGAACAAGCTGGTTATCACAGGTTTTAACCAACATTGAGTCATCTGGCAGCCATTTTGAATATAATTGTGACCCTGGAGCAGAGAGGAGACTACTTACGGTCCTCTGTGTCCCAAAGCGGCCCGCTGTACTCCAAAAGTGTTTCTAAATGGTCTTTAGGAAGTCTGTGTGCGTGTGTGTGCCTGTGTGTATATGTATGAATTTATATCGTTGTGAAATAGTTTTTTTTAATCGACATATAATTAAAAATATACTTTTAAAATTCAATAATAAAACATATTTTTTTGTAATTTTTAGATGGTGCGTAACTACGTCAAAATAAGAGCAGTACCTTCATGGACGAAGGAGAACATGAGGCACGCCTTAGAAATGATAGATCGAAACCAAATTTCGGTTCGAAAAGCATCCGAATGATTTGGAATTCCTAAGACTTGCATTTTACGACGAAGAAGTAACGAATTAATGTCAAAAAGTCCTAGAAATGACCATTTCAAACAAGTTTTTAATGAACAACAGTCAAGAGAGGAACATATGTATTTTAGATTTAGAGAAGCACTTTTATGGAATAACCCCTCTAGATGCACGTCGACTTGCATTTGAGTTAGCAGAAAGTATGCAGTTAAGTCATCCGTTCAATAAAACTACGAAGCTGGCTGGTAATGGCTGGTTATCAGGATTTTTAAATAGAAATCCCCAATTGTCTGTTAGAGCTCCTGAAGCTATTAGCATAGCACGTGCGGCAGGATTTAATAAACCACAAGGTCTGAGGTTTTTTGAGGTCGTACGATCAGTTTTGGACGCCAATAATGTTCGACCAGACGAAGTCTACAACATTGATGAAACTGGGATTAACTCAGTACCAGTTCCCAGAAAAATATTAGTCGAAAAGGGGAAAAACAAGTTGGGCGCATAGTGAGCACTGAGCGTGGGTTTAATGTCACTGCAGTTTTTGGAATTTCAGCTGCAGGATGTTACATTTCACCATTTTTACTTTTTCCACCACAGCGATTGATTCCATTATTTATGAAAGGTTGTTCACCAGGTGCAGTGGGTTTCGCAAGTGGATCTGGATGGATGGATTCCGATCATTTGATCAAGTATCTAGACCATTTTATAAATCACGTAAAGCCCGACCCACCAACAAAATATTACTAATCCTCGATAATGACAATAGTCACAGGACGCTGGCTGCAATAAATAAAGCAAGAGAAAATAATATTATAATGGTCTCTCTGCTCCCCATACCAGTCACCGCCTACAGCCCCTGGATTGCACTATGTTTGGGTCTTTAAAACATCATTATGCAAAGGTGGGTGACTTATGGCATACTAATAACCCTCGATCTCGTCTGGCCTTGTATGATATCGTAGAAATATTTTCGATGGATTTTCTTCATATTGCCACTGTGGAGAAAGCCATAAAGGTTTCGAAACAACAGGAATTTATCCATTTAATGATGAAATCTTTTCTGCTTGCTGAAGTCACAGATTTTCCGGAGGAAGACAGAACAGAAAGACTTATGACTGCAAAGAGCCTCCCAGATAACCACCAACCAGCAATTGAAGGGGTATTTAAGGTACCACAGCCGGGTTGCAGTTATGCTTCGTTTAAAGATGCCATATTGGCAGCTTCTCCAAAGCCAAAGTCAGATTCCCGTAAAAATAAAAGGCTGAATTCCAAGAAGAAAGTTAGTAGAGCTCAGCATTCTGAAGAACTGACAAGTTCTCCATTTAAAGAACAGCTTATTGCGAAAGAAGCCGAAAAGAAAAACAAAATACCACAGGTGTAAGAAGGAATCTTACCGGAAAATTCGAAGGAAATTTCGTCATAAGAAAAAGGAAAACCGAGAAAATTAAGGTCGTGGAAATTTCAATAGTGACAGTGAAGAGGAGCAGACCATATGTCCTTATTGCCCAAGCAGATATGGTGAATCAAGTGCCGGGGAGGGATGGATTCAATGCCAGAATTGCAAAGGCTGGGCACATGATGCGTGCGCAGGAGTGTCAGAGGACGAACAAGAATTTATTTGTTTAAAGTTCTCCTAAGCTTTAGTACATTTGTATATTATATTATATTTAATACAACTGTTATTTCTTAAAATATATAATATGTCTTGCGCAAACACTATTTCAAGTCCTTTCGTTAACACCCAATTGTAAAATTAGCGTAGGTCCCCTGTGCCCCAGTGCTAGGTCCTCTATGCCCCAATACCACGGGGCACATAGGGCCAGCGTAGAGTGTCAAAAAATCGTCTATAGTTGTTTTTTGTTATGGTATATAGTAAAATTACATTTGGCAATCGTTAAAGTAAGGTACTCACTAAAAAAAGACACATTTTATAATTTTTAGTTAATTGTTTTTAGTACGATATACACCAAAAATTCTTAAGAACTCCCCTATGCCCCCTCCTCCCCTACATTTTTTCTAAATCAAAATGGCTGATTTAATATGCTAGATGTATTTGTGGAACATATTTCGATTGCTCTCCAAGTTGAGTTTCGAATGTTTTAACGGTGGTTTATGACTAATTTGATTTCAATTTTCCAAAAATCCACATGGCGTACCTAGTATAACAGACATATGCAAAAAATGTTCAAATTGCTCCCTATTTTGAGTTTTATATTGTTTCAAAGTTTTTTGTCAATCACTGTATAATGTTGCAGAATTGTCAAGATCGCAGTCAGCTTCAGCCAAAATTGACATATTCCTTAACTGGGTGTCTGATCAACACGCTACTATTCATAATAAATTAAAATTAAGCTCATTTCGATCCCTTTTCTGAAGCAAACGTATTTTGTGATTATACATTTTTAACAAATCTAATAATCATGAAGTATAATTGAGGTTTTTGTAGCTTACTGCAGTATACAGGTCGTTACGATATCATAATAAGTAGTGATTATATCGGTCGGCCCTATGCCCTTCATGATATAAAGGCACTCACCCAATAATGGCGTACTTCTTGACGAATTTATGTAATGTACTATTACACAAATTTGCACTGAGTTTGGCTCGCTAATTTCTTGTATGTTTGTTAAGGGGCATCCAACAAATTACGAAAACAAATCGAGGTGAAAAGCTTCTCCCACAAATGCGTGGTGTAGTTTTCGCCTCATCTAGTGGCGATTCAGAGGACTAGTTGACCGATCTGTATTTTTTTTTTGCTGTTTAGGTCTGCTTCATTCGTCGTAACCATGACCTACTTACAATTCGGTGAAGCATATGGTCACGACTTGCTGTACTTCTTTTACTGTTTCTTCTCGATGATTGGGATTTTGCTGGTAATATACGTGTACCCAGAAGCCTCTCGGAAAACCAGCCTAGAAATATTTGATGAAATCAGGAAGAGAAAACATATATTCAGACGATATAGGGCAGAACCCATACGAGGATTGCGGTGAATAATCCGGAAAAGAAATAAGGACACATTTTTAGTACGGGACATTTTCAACTACTTTAGACCCGGATACCTCATACCTTCGTAATGATTTTGATATAACTTTGCTATGCAGTGTAATTCGTAAGAACTCTTATCTTAAATTAGCAACTATGTGCATCTTGCTGTTTATATGTTTAATATTGAATTGAACAGCAGAAAAATTACCCTGTTAAGACGTGAATGTGACGAATAGTTATTTCTACGTATGCTTAGTTTACAATCTTAACAACATACGTTTAAAGTCTCTGCTGGTTCTTTATCGCTACAGCTTATTGTTAAACATTTCTGATATGTATTCTTTGGACACTGTGCTCGTAATTATTCTAATAAAAACGATTTTGTCCCTAGTGATTTACTACCGCAGTCTTCATTTCTTAAGTTCTATTGCAAGATGGAGAAATTTTGTGTCTAGTACGAATTTCACAATGAAGTTGTACGCTCACAGAGGTAAAGCTACCTAAAAGGAACCCCGGCAGCTTTTGCCGTTTGCATCAAATGTGACATTCTGGTCTGTAAAATGTCTAATCTCAAGATTTCGTCTAAAACCGTTGGACTCTTCCCTAAAGGACTGGGACCCAGGCGACAGGTAAACATATCGACATGGTTGTACTTCCCGCGGCTACTTGTGAGAAATTTTTGGAAAATGAGATGTTTTTTGGACATTAGTTGACATGTACATCACGACAAACCATGACACTTATTTCCGTCGGTCTGTCTGTCGGTTTATCGGTTCGTCGGCCTGTCCTCTAATCTTGTAACCGCCTATTACTTAAGAAGTACCGCTTGGATTTCGGAGAAATTTAAGGACGCAGAAGCTTTGCAGTTTTAGAAACTCGGCCCAGTAGTGGCGGAGGTATAGGTATAAACATGGAGGAAATAAACCGCTCAAAATTAGTTTTTTGATGTTTCAGATACTCATGGTATTACTCATTTTCTTTTAAGAGTTGAAAATCGGGGTTGGGGTTGTAGGGGGTAGTGGAGAGAATATATTATTTTTTGATAGCAAGTATATTTATACCCTACGAACCTCACTAATTTTACGCACCTTCCAGTTCATATTCCACACATTATAGATTTCCCCGTAGATTTGCCCCCAAAGCTTAAGAGAAATATTCATAGTCATGAAACGCGGCGGGCCGCGATGCAACCTTCATAAGCCACTGCCTGCGTGTCTGTGTCTAATTGACTTGCATCGTCGGTTCTCTCGAGTAACTATTTACTATATTGGTGTAGTTCAGCACCGTTGCCAGATGGTACATATTGAGAGCAGTTAACTAACTAGCGTTAGTCAACTGCATGGGGACTATGAAGCATGAACCTGTTTGGCTGACTTGGTCCATTTAATTTTCTTGTTATAAGTGTTTGTAGATAGTTCAGAGGAACCAACTTATGTCGAACATAATCGTTTATTAACTGGACATTGCGTGGAAAGTGAAGAGTCAACCTACTTGATACCATTTTTTAAACGAATTCCAATAATTGTCCTTTGCTTCGGGCAAGTTTTTTAATTTCATTCTTGGGGCAAAAAAGCTTTCACAAGCCTTTAAAAAAACGAAAATTTTAATGTTGTTAATGTTCCTAAATATCCTTCAAGCACCCGACAACGAGATATCAAAGCATTTATGGGCTATTGTTATTGTTTTGTTTTATAATTGTTTATCAAACGTGCGCTCAATTAGGGGTGTGTTTTACGAAAAACGCAGCTGGCGGACGCCCCTATGCTTTCACTAACGTTTCGGCTACCTCGGTGGCCTGTTTCAAGGTTGATACAAGAAAAGTGACAGTGACATAAAATATATTGCTGAAACATTAGCAAGCACTTAATTTCCGCAGATATTGTTTAATTTAATGACCAGAAAATATAGAGAATCATCAGCATGGAAGCCACAGAATAGCGTTACGAGAAGCATGTTTCTCCAGAGTGACACAAAAAGTGCTACAATTCTACAAAGAATTATCATTTATGACGCAATTTTTAGGCTGACGACATGCAGATTCGCAAAAAGAGTTCGTCCTTCAATAAGGTTATGCTACAAAATCAGAGAGAATACGAAGATACTTCCCGGATTATAAAATGCTGGTTTAAGATTTAGTCATAAGCATGCTATCCTGTATTATGTATATCTTCCATTAAGTATCATAGTCCTGTAAGCACTGGCAAACATCTAGAAGCAATAATAGGTCTTCGTAATCTTGTGGCTAAGTCAAGCCACATAATATGTTTTAATTACTTTTTACCGTACGACGTTACGGCCACCACAATGGCATTTTTCTAAGTACAGTGACATTTAGCAATAAATAAAATAAGACTTAACTGTCACCTGGGAACGTCGCTCAGTAAACAGTAATTAAAAAATTCGTAGTCTGATTTATCGGCCAGGCAATGGAGTTCTATCAACATGAAAGTCACAAGGTAAGTTTCATGTGTCACATCTAGAAGCATTCCCACTGGTCGCTCTCATATTTTGTGTGGAAGAGAAAATAATATGAGGTGCTGATAATTGAATTGATTATTTATTAGTTTGAAAATTGGATAATTCGTCGGAAAGCCGTAATTGATTTGGATATGAAAATAGGATTTCGTATTTATAAATTCATCAAAGTGAGCCTATGCCAGATGCACATGCCCATGAAAATATAACTGGATGAGTATGTTTGTGTGGAACACCGCACTGGTTGCTCATGACAGATGAAATTACATGAGGGGTATTTGAATACTGCCATTTACTAACAATCTTCCTAGAAAAGGCATGATAATGATTCCCAACACAGAAATATATATGTATAACGATTATATCTCGGAGGTATTTCTTGAAGCTTATCCTGATTGACATTTAGCAAGTATACTCCAGTGCCATAGTCACACTATTCAAGAATATAAGAAAACAAGACTAAACCATAACATAGCTCACGACTTAACAAAGATGAGCAGCCTTTAGAATCCTACTATAGTGAAAACTGTTTGACAGTAATTAAGTAAAATTTAGCTAAACAGTCGCAAGGTCTTGGAGAAAACTGGCAAATAATGGAGGTGCCGAGTCTGGTTTGGCGAGGAGGTTTTCAATTCAGGGTTACTCAGTGAAGGGTAGCAATATTTCTGAAGCATAATATACTACCAAAAATACGACAAAAAGTTCATATAAGCATGCCTCTTAAAATGCCTTTCCACCAAGGTACAGGCTGTCGGAATTATAATTTTGAAATCTAACAATAACATTTGTGAATGTTTCACTGACATCGTAGGCAATGACATAAGTTATTCTACCTGACATTATATCAGTGGCGTAGAAATAGTAGAGCTTTGACCTTGTGGTGTATTAGGAGAGTAATCCTGGCCTAGATAGCTTCACTTGAACAATGTTGTTGTGTGTTTCTATTCAGTCCCATATATAACCCAGAAACGTTCACCATCGTAATAATGGGATACCTTGGGATCTGTTCTTGTGGGATCATACTTGTTATTTTTAGGTGTACTGTCAATCCTTTACAAAGGCTACATTTTTCTAAATCATCCTATACAGGGTGTTTGGAAAGTCGATAATTTTGTGGTGGTGATAGGGCAGACCATTAGGAATCTTTTAAGCCAAAAATATTTTAGTTCAAAGTCTTCCGGTTTTCGAGTTATTCGATTTTTATTGAAAAAATTGGCTTTCTGTTCCTGTTATCACTGAAAGAATAGTTTTTAAATACCTGACAGTGTGGTTTTTTTCTCCGAGGATAGAGAAAAGAAAGACACAAATTGACTGTAAACAGAGAATAAATACATGTTTGTTACTGATAAGAACGTGTTTGCGTGCATCATAAAACTAAATTCCGCACATTCTTGCGTTATTCGTTTCCAAACAAGTCAACGGTAATTTATGAATTTCAGTCAAAAAACCCTGAATTAATTAGTTTTTAAAATGGCCGCTTTCGCTAAGGATGAACACGCAGATATCGTTTACATGTATGGCAGAGCAGATGGCAATGGACTAGAAGCCCGACGGTTATATCAAGAGCCCATTAGGGAAGATAAACAACAGAATAATACAACACAAAAACCACGATCTGTTAAAATAGTTAAAAACAGTAACGTGTTCTTTAGACTATTACATCCAAATATCCAAGGTGCTCGCTGTAAGTCAGGAATCATCGAATCACTGTGTGAAAGGAATAAATATACAATGCTCTCTATAAATGAACACTGGTTAAGAAAAGACGAGGTATGCTATTATCATATCTCTGGTTTTAGATCTGTATCTAGTTTCTGTAGGGATGTGAAAAATCGTGGTGGTGTGGCTATTTATATAGCAAATCATGTTAATGCCGTACCTCTATCAGATCACCTTCTGAATCTGTCAGAAGAACTACACTTTGAGGCGGCCGGAGTAAATGTGAATGATCTTCAGTTAATCTCACTGTATCGATCTCCTGATGGTAATTTTGAATACTTTATTATGAAACTTTGTCGTTTATTGGATGGACTCGATTACCGCAAGCAAATTGTGATAACAGGAGGTTTTAATGTTAGATTTAATACGTTACAACACCAAGCTCAGGAGCTTGTGAACTTATTTAGTTGTTATGGTTTCATGCCAATAGCTGGTCAAAATACAAGAAACTCAAGTTGTCTAGATAACATCTTCATAAACTACGTAGACTCAGAAAATAGCGTTAATGTTTTTTATACTCATTATTCAGATCATTTAGCGCTTGACTATACTTTTAATTTATCACATGTACCGAAAGTACTTAGGAAACTCTATTATAGACCTATAACAAACAGCGGCCTTTTCAAACTTTACTATGATATGGAATCAACATCTTTCGAATTTGTTAATTAAAAAAGTACGACAATCGAATATAAAATTGAAAAATTCATATCTATTGTCAGAATTTCGATCAATCAACATCTTCCTATAAAATCGCGACTTGTTAATGATAATAAAAGCTCCTGTAATGTGTATTGGTTCAATGATCATATAAGAAATATGAGAGAGACTTTGACTTTCCTAACAGAGCTTCATAAAGACGATGTTACTTTAGTTAGTACGGACTGCTTGAAACAATTTAAATACAGTTACAGACAAGAAATTGTCAAAGCTAAGATTAAAGCCAATTAATTAATAATATATTAATAAATCCAACAACAGACAACATGCTGCCTGGAATATCATAAAGAATGTTAAACCGAACGCACACAGCCAGGACTCCTCAACATCTCTCACAGCACATCAATTCAACGACTTTTTTACCCATATCCCACAAAAAATTTTAAATAAAATTACCCCATCTGGTGTTTCTCCATCGCATTATATGAATCATCCTACTCATAG